GTAATGTATAATAAATAAGAATATTGACTAATTTATTGTTAGAGAAATATAAGGTAAGTTATATGATATAATGTTATTGTATAATATTGTTAGAGAAATATAAGGAAAAATAAAAAAAAATGTTAGTATAATGAAAGGGTCCAAACAACTTTTTTAAGTAGATTTATTTAGACTCCTTCTCTTTTAATAGTATAGATGTTTTAGTACTCATTATTAATTTACCGTGAAGTGTGTTTTTGCCATCGTTGGCAGTAGTCTTGTACTCTTTACCATTCAATTTGAACTGGGCATTTCCTATTCTATTCGCTACTCGTCCCACGGTTGCTCCAAAATAGACCTTGTCGGTCTGATTTGCAAATTAAAAGGTATATTAGTTTATCAAAAATAAAATAAAACCGTTGTAAGAAATAATTCATAATAACATAAAATCGAATATAAATATAACTTTTTCTACGTACCTTATAGCTTTTGACGCTATCATAACCAAGAACAATGTCGCCAACTTTTCCTGAAAGTTCGTTAAAATCATTAGTGATAAAATTTATATGAAAAATGTGAAAAATGTATATTTATATAAAATGTATTTAAAACATGTTTCTTATGGCCAACACTCGAAATGTTTGGTTCGCTAACCATTTTTGTCCGGGAAACGAAGAGACATGATTGAAGCACCCCAGTTTGTGAATTTGATGGTTATGTTTCCCTTCTTGAGCTCATATAATCCAATAGTATCTTTTTCATCATCATCCCCATCAACCTCATCTTTATCATCATCGTCATCATCGGTGTCATCATCAGTGTCATCATCGGTATCAGATTCATCATGTTCACCCTTCTTTTTATCTTCATGCTCCTTTTCATCATCAGATTCATCATCATCATGTTTGTGATGATGAGCGGTCTTCTTCTTATCACCATCCTTCTCGTGATCACTCTTTTTATGCACATCATGCTCTTTCTTTTCATGTTGATCATCCTTTTTATGCACATCATGCTCTTTCTTTTTGTCCTTTTTATCGACATGAGAACCGGCTTTGTGATCATCATTTACCATTTCTCCTCCTTTCTCTTCGTGTTTACTATTATGAACAACTTCAGTCTCTTTCTGGCTACTCTCCACATGGTTCGATGTCACTTCCGTGTCGTGTGCAAATGAGAAACTTACCACTACTCCTAATGTAACTAATATAACCAAACATAACAACACAGAAACTCTCGCCATGTTCAAGAAAACGAATTAAAAGTAAAATATGAATAAAGATGAATGCTGTGTGAGTATTTATAGGTTGAATGTTATTAGATAAAAGAAGACAAAAATAGGAAACTCCGACTAATTGGTGATTCTTAGAGTAATTAGGAGATAAAACCGGGATTGCATCAAGATTTTAAAAGATAAGCACAAACAACACCATCGTTTCAAGAAAAATACACCATCGTTTCTTTTTTTTTACACAACTACAACACCATCGTTTCTACGTACCTCACATATTCATTTGGGCGTTTACGTTAACTATTTCTTATCTAGGCCCATCGTACGCCCACTAAGAGTGAGTCTACCTAGAAGATAAGTGATGCAGCGTCATCCTACTTCTTGGTTTGAAGTTACGATGGCTTTTGACAGGAAATAATTTAATCCTTACGAAACTATTCGTGGGTATTCAGATTGTACTCGTAATGTTCAGATTGTTTAACTTATACCGTTGACATGGCCCTACTAAAATCCAATCCTTTTGTTTTCTTCTTTATATTTTATCTTCTTTTTTTTTTATCAAACTTCTTTATATTTTATCTTTGTAAGAATATACTCGTATAAACAAAAAAAAAAAAAAAAAAAATATATATATATATATATATATAGATATATATACTCGTATTCTATGACTTTTACTTTTCTTCGTTGCATGGTTTAAACTATTGCGAAAATAATAATAATTCATATTAATACATTGCTAAAACTAAGTTCACATCAATTGTACATTTAATTTGGTTTATATGAATAGGTACCACACTAACTCAAATAAAAACACTAATGAAAAACGGACGAACAATAAATAAACATCTTCTGATACAATACTATAACACCTAATGAAAAAAATCACCCCAAAAATTAACAATGGAGATAATTTTGATACAACAACTAGCTTTTATCTTCCTTGTTCACGAAACTAGTCGTGGAAGATGAAGAAGAAGAGTTCTTGAACATAGATAAAGGAGGTTGAGACGATGGTTGGTCGATAGACGCACCCGTTTGATTATTTGCTAATATGTTAGACATCAGTAAGCTGCTAAAATAGCCTCCACATCCTTTGATGTTATTCGTCGTGGCGGTTTGCTGAACATTGTTGCTAATAGGATGCACGATCTGTTTCTCCCCGTTGGATCCAACCATGGATGAGATGGCAGCAGCGATCACTGAATGGAAACTTGGGTCGGAAGTAAGAGCTTTCGTTAGGGTTTCAGTTAAGGACTGGCTATTTTGGACTGTTTTTCCTTGGTTGGGCATCCCAAACTGGACATTGTTATAAGGATATGGAGTATAAGGAGAATACCCACTGCCCCAAATCGCGGGTATGTTGAGAGTAGTTGCTGCTGATGATGATGGCGTATTAGAAGAGAAATTTAGGCTTGTGGATGGGAATTTTTGGAAAGAGTTGGAGAATTTGTTGAAATTTAAAGAAGGCAATGAAGAAGAGGAAGAGTGTTGTGGTGTAGTGAGGTCTAGAGTGACTGTGGGATGTAATGGAGAATGAAGTGTGGGTGAGTAGAAGGATTTGTTGTTGTTGTTGATGAATCTTGAATTATCATAGAGGTTGTTTCCGACCATTTCAGCAGCTGATGTGGAGGAGGAGGAGCCGGAGAGGAGCATGGAGGCGGCTGCTGAAGTAGTGGAGGCCATGGTGGTGGCTGAGAGGGGAAGAGGATGGCTATGTGTTCCTTCATAGGTTGTGATTAATATGGACATGTCGTCTGCACATCTTTGGACCTAAAACATCCAATCACTATTAGTCTTTTATAAATAAAAACCTTCCAATAGTTTAAAACATACACTACACTAGAGGGCATGTCTTCCACTTAATTAATATAGTTTTTATTTCATTATTGTTCTTCCATAATTATAAAACTAAGATTAAAATGATAAAAAATAATTGAATAATTTGTTGATTTGTATTTTGTACCTGTTTTCTAACGGGACATCCAGGAGCAACAGTGCAACGATAGTATGCTCGTGGACATGGATTTCCTTTTGCAATCTTTTGACCATATTTTCTCCATTGACAACCATCATTCATCTACACACCACATAACAAAACTTGTCCTAATCAGTGGTCACATATAAATAATAATCAAATTGCTTACAATGTTCAAAGTTATATATAGATCATATAAAATGTGTATATAAATTAATAAAAGAACGTACCGTTGGTGTGTCACATCTCGCTCTAACGCAAACTCTAGCTCTCTTTACATGGTTTTGCTGACCGGCCTCTCCTTCAACATCGCCACCTGAGACAGGTGCCGGAGAGCTTCGCTTCCCGTTCACTTTACCTGGCGGCCAAGTTTCTCCCGAGCTATTTTCCTGGCTAGAATCGGCAGGATTGAACCCTAAGGTCAAGCCAGCCTTGGTCAACTCTTTGTCAGCGTTGACTTCTGTTTTATCCTTTTTAGAGGTGTTATCACTCGGGGAAGAACTTCTTCTCCCAAGTGAAAGAGACACAAGCTCGTGTTCTTGATCAAAAGAACTCAAGTCCGACGTGGCCTTCTTAAGACCAATCATATTTTGATCTTGAGTTGGGTTGTTCGAAGGTTCTTGTTGAACTATGTCGAAGAATCTGAGTTTGAGAGTTTTGTAATCACTTTCAATTCGTTCGAGCATCCCTTTAAGCTTCTCGTTCTCTTCCTTTACCTCCCCCATCTCGGCTTTGGCAGATTCAAGCTCTTGATGATCATCATCACCCTAAGATCATTAAATCATTTTTTTTATAATTTTTTTCGTCGAGAAAAAAAATGTTCCAAGAATTTCATTGTTGTATAAATCATGGAGACCCATACTAAACTCTAACGAATTATTCAATCCTATATCGAAAATAAACTTTAATTAGATGAAGCATATATAATCTTTTAATTCATTTATAAATGAACGGTAAATATTTGAGTTTTTTTTTCATTAATTACGATACGCAAAGCAATTATAGAGTAGATCTATCTCAGAATGAATAAACTCATAAAACTAAAAGCATACCACAAAATAACAAATTTAAATGCCTTCCTCATATACATATAGGACTTCAAATATTGGTACATATGAGTTAGTATTTACCTTACTAGCTTCATGGATTTGAGCAGATCCAATAACTTTGTCCTTAAGAAGAGAATCTGAAGTGGGTAATTTTAGAAGAACCTCCATTTTTAGAAATATAAGAAGTCTTCTTCTTTGAATTTTGTTTTTCTTTTGTTGTCTGTTTCTTCTTCTCCACAAACTTAATAAAACCCTTTACTTATAGCCATTTGTGTAGTTTCTTCGTGGGGACCCAAAGCGTCAACACTTCAACATGTTCAAATTTTTATTCTATGTTTATTGAATTCCGGGACATTTTCCTACAATCCTATCTGTGTATTTATTTTATAACTAGCGAAATATAAATAAATTATTTTCTGACTTTCTTGTTGATATATATTATACTACTTTTCTGTTGTAAGGGACACAAAAATATTACAACTGATACAATGAATTTTTGTAATCAAAATCCTTTTAGAACAATCATCAAAATGTGTTTCAGAAAAAAAGAAGAACAATCATCAAATATCTTTGTTTCATATGTTTAAACATTAAGAAAACAAATTTGAATTAAAAATGAATATTAAAATGAATCCCATAATATTTATAATATAATTTTCTTGAGACAATATTTGAGTAAAATTACAAGGGTGACACTAATAAATTTCATGAATAGTTTTCAAAAGGAAAACTGTGATGATTTCACATACAGTATGTATTTGTTTTAATTCTTAACTGAATCAATTGTAGATAATATTATACATGGATCTGGCAATTTTAGTTTTTTTCTCTTAAACTGATTATTTAGTATTATCAAAATATTCAAATGCAATAAATGAAATTTATATATGAATATATGTAAGAAAGAGCCTATATGTACGGCGCCAAATAGCGATTGTATAATGTGAAGGGAGATATCCTTGAAGCTTCATGGAAGAAGACTTCTTCTATCTCTTGGGCTGACATCACATGAGCATTCGTCAACTCTTTAAATCTTATATTACTTGTTTAATTAGTGTGTTTCTTAGCACTCCCTCATCCAAAACATGTTATATTTATTCCAAAAATTGATCAAGATTGTGCATTCATACATACAATCAATGCATTCGATTTATCTTAGTGTATCACATGTGTTGTAATTGACATTGTTGCATGATGTACGGTATATATAGTTCGTCAGCTTTATGTTAGTGAAAAAAATTATTTTTTCACTTAGTGTTTCGAATATTTATTTGTCTGTATTTTATTTTCACCAATATTCAGTCACAAGCTCGTTTATAATTAGCAAGCTTAACTAAAAGATACAAGATGACCTCATAAAAACTATAAGTAAACTAGACTTATAGGCTCTCAAAATACTTTTAAAAGCAAATTTCAAATTAAAAAATCATGTAACATGTAGGATCAGAAAGCAAGGTATTTTGGTGTATATGGAAACCTAGTTCATATGGTAGGCCAAAGGGTGCGTATACCGGTCAATACGCAGGTCGCACACGGTAATTATATGATTTGTCAACTATGAAATATGACAACTATGATGTTGTCAACTAATAGTTTCAAATGTTATTAACACATTCGTGTCACATCTAATTACATTATTGACATATATGTCAAATGCTTACATAGTTGTCATATTTCATCAGTGAATACCACTGCATGGCGTTGAAAAAAGTAACATGCATTATATGCTCAATTTTCTTATAAAATATCAATAAATGTTCTAGTTTTAATTATTTTTTAAGAGCCAACAAATAATTTTTATTATCTATATTTATACATATGAGCTTCGGTCATATGCAAATAATGCAATTATAGGTAAGGGCACGAAGAAAAACATTAGATACCCAATAGTTTATTAGCTTTGCCACTTTCTTATTAATCTATAAGCTAGCAAATTGTCCTCTTTCCTGTCTCCAGTTCTTCAAACCAGACTATTTCTTAGTTATTTCATATCAATACTAACATTTTTCGAGGGGCCAGTCCATAATTAATTACTCCAGAGAACTGGTTTAGTTTTTGATGACTCAGTGTTAAATAATTTTATTTCCTGAGGCCAAGTTGAATCTTGAATACTTAATTTTGTCTCGATCTAAGGTTTCAATTTCTTTTGTTTTTAGGGATCTGAGCCCCCAACGTACAAAAAAAATCTTAGTAAACATTTGATCAACTCAACTTACATCATTCATTTGGTTTTTTATATATTTTTAATCTAAACAAAGACTTTCTTGTTAACTATTATAAATGTGTACAGGTCATTATATGGTTTAAGTAAACAATCGTGGTCGCAATGTGGTTATTGTTTAACCCTATTAGCAATGAGATATAAAATTAGCATGTCTCACATTAACTCCATTAACTAAGTTTTTTTTATTAACTCCATTAACTAAGTAAAATTAACTAGTAGTTACAATTTACATGGAAATTTCAAAGCTTTATATATTTTGTTATTTTATGCCAATTCGACTACAGCGGGACTAATCCATGATTTCCACTTTTGTTTATTAAAAATTTGCTTTATTTTGATAACTACTAATCTTTCAACTCATTTTAAAGACTGGTGATGAAAGTTAAATATTTTGATGTGGAAATTATTGATGCTTAACCATCTATATAAGACAGGAAATTTATCAACATTTGGTCTCATTTAGACAATAAAAGTCTTTCGTCAACTGTATTGATTATTTTTCTTCTAATTTGCGATAAGTTTGTTTATTTCAGTTCCAGTGTAATTAGTTACGTTCAAATGGTCGCACAGTTAAATAATATTATAACTACAACGGTTCAATAAATTTTCAAGGAGAACGTTATGCTTTTTTTTCCAGCAAATGAGTGAATGAAAGGGTCAACTAACATGTCTCTGCGACTCGCAAAGACAGATCGGATCTTGACCCGAGCTTCGTTAGTTTTTAATTACGGTTTGTATTTGAATCAATCTCAAAATTATTATATAGATTTCAAAAAATAAGTAAAGGAATATGACCTTTTTGATTTTATTACTTTTTGACATCACTTGATTTTATTACTTAGTAAATCTATATGGTATCTATAATATATAATCTCAAATGTTACTATTTGTCACACATTTAATTTTAAAATAATTAGTGAAGTGCTTACATTTTTGAATAATTTAATTATAATGGCTAAGTGTTAATACAATAATAAGGATAAGAATTTAGAAGTCTGATTGTTGAATATCATTTAGGATGGAGCCACGTTATATATTTGATTTCAAGTTTGAGAACATATATAAATTTGGATCTATCATAATTCAATCTACATATGCTAACTCTTTAGTCTTTTATGGAAAATATTTAATTCATCCAGCTTGAAGTTTATTTTTGTTAGACTGAAATGTATATGCATTGTAACGATAAGTTCTTTTTTTTTTTGTAACGAACGAAGAGTTCTTATATTTGATTGTCTTCAACAGGAAATACAACTAAACTAGACTTATAAAATTTTTTTGGGTCATCAAATTGCGAATAGATTTTACAGTTTCCACTAGTGACCTAAGGTCAATGGTTTGGATGTAGACATTGAAATTAAACAATTAACAAAAGATAAGTTTAAAGACAACTTGGAGATTCTCTATTGAAATTTAGGTCAATGGTTTCAGATTTGCCATTGAATGAATGATTAGTTTATTATCGTTCTTGGGTTTAGACTCCCATCTCTATGCATTATCCTCAAGATATTTGAATTCAAATTGATCGTTTTTTCCTCGCGGAAAATATTTGATTAAGTTGAATGAGTACATGTCCTGATAGTACTACTACTTATTCTTCTCCGTGGAAATTTAGCATATCGGCCGGTTGTTATTCAACTATTTATACCAACTATCCGGTTAACTGTTATTCTGTTGAATATATACATCTACACAATCTTCATTTATTTATATACTTCAAGTTGCTATAACATCGTTTGGAATGTATCTGAATACTTGTCCTTACTACAAGCTAACATTCCAAACTAAAAAAAACAATGCAATGTCTATAATTATTTTCAATTTTTTTCCAACAGTTTGGAAACTGATTTAGGCTGCAAATATATAGTTGGCTGAATAGAGAAATAAGTTACAGCGCAATGTATAATCTTGCTAGTTTAAATACTTAGTAGAATTCATTCAATCGATAGAAAAATAAACATTATTGCGTTGAAAATTATCCATCCTCTTAACAAAGAAGCCAGTGGAACAAAAATAAAATCTTACTATCCCTATTTTTGTTTCCACAAATCATTATTTCTCTTATTCCACTTTACAAATAAGCTTTTTCGGATTAAACGATTTTATATCATAAACATCGAGATCAAATCCAAATGAAAAGAAAAAAAAAAACTTAGAGTACGAAACACGGATTTTAAATCAGAAAATATCAAAACCAATTTATACCAAAAGTCTATTTTATTTTGGCTATTATTAGAAAAACATGAAACGTGATTAAAGTTTAGGATAAAAATAGAAATATATTTTCTTTTTTTCTTGTTTCCCTTTCCTTTTTATGTACAAAGAAGAGTTTAAACTAAGATGTAATCCAACAAAAAAAAAAAAAACTGATTCCAAATCTTAAAAAGTGCAATAGATTAAGAAAAAAAAGCTCAGTCCTCAACCTTTGGGCCTGTGTATAAAGCTCCAACTACGTTAAGATCCTCTGGATTATCATCTCTTTCTTGCAGCCATGCATAACCCTCTTTCTCCACTTCACCTCTCAAAACGTTGTCTTCCTCTGAAAACAACACATATAATAAAAAAAAAACATTTTATCTATCTGGTCTACTTACATATAATTCGTGTAAAGGCTTTAGTATGATAACTAAGTATAGAAAGCAAACCTGATGAGAAGTTGTCTAAAGGGAACTCTAAGAAGTAAGTGCAATGTCTGCCTTCTGGATTGCAGTAAGGAGGGCCAAGCACGTCTAGAACCGCACAAGCTGTTTTAGCTGTGAACCTATGCATGTTCCCACCATCTTCCGGGTACAAAATCGAGGCGTTGCATGGTGCGGTTAACGCTGAGTCCATCTTCAGTTTTGCCAGCCTAGTTTTCGGATCTCTCACTGCAATTGAGATATCACTAAAGGATTAATGTCTTGAATTGTAATGATATAAACGTAGAATGTAAGAAATTGTATATAATTCAGCACATATAGAGACATGGAATCTTAGTTCCTATCAGGGTCGACCCTGAGATTTTAGGGACCTATGGCAATTTTTATGTAAAAAAAAATTTCGGGGACCTGAGACAAATGTTTCACTAGGTATGCCCGAGGACCGCCCAGGTTCCTATTGAGACCAATCAATTTTTTTTGACACAAATAGGGTGACCTACATAAAGAGTATGTGGTCGGTCCTAAAGTGAGATTCGAGTCATCACATCAGTGAGATGAGACCTATAATATTAGTTTAGGTACATAGACCAATCTATTCATCGAGATTTGTTTTTGACTTTTGAGTAGAAACATCATAAAAATTTCAACACTACCATTCTAAGTAGGGTTATCACTAATCAAGGCTTATAATCTTTTTTGCTAAATTGGGATTATATCTTTGAGATAAGAAGTTAAAACTGACTTCCTTGTCTCTTTAACCAATTATCTACTGAACCCTAATAAGCTAAACAGAGATCTATTGCAAGAATAACGATAACAAACAGTTTTCTTGGGACGAAAGTAAGCTTACTTGGAGCATCAACAACCCAATCATAGGACTTGATGTGCATTGTACCAAATAAAAGCTTGCTAAAAACAGTCATCCCTGGATGATTATGAAGAGGAATGACACCAGAAGGAGGCAAACAGAAAATCCCAATCTGCCATAAAACCCTAATTTTGATTACTTACACCACAAGGTAAAAAAAAAAGACAACACTGTAAAGTGTGTGTGTAGTGAACTTACAGAGAATTGTTCACATTGATGTAGATGCAGATACGTTATTGGTGGAGAAGACCGATGTTCTGGTGCGGAGATTTGTCGGAAATACGGCATGGTCTGAGTTAATCCAACATCCTCTGGTTTCATATTATCTAACATATTAAAACATAATTCAAAATCAATGAAAACCCAGAAAAAAAAAACTTAATTAGATTTTGAATCAAAATAAGATACCAAGAATGTTTCGTAGCTGTTGGATTTTATCTTGAGATGGAATCACTCCAGGACCGCCATTAGAGAACACTTCCTTGCAGGTCTCAAACAGCCTCCTCACCACAGTGATCTCATCTCCCTGAGAATCACTCCTCTTCCGTCCTAACGTCTTCTTGTTCTTGTTCTTATTCTTCTTCTTCTTGATATGAGGTGAATTAACAGAGTTTGGATTAGAGTTTTTAACTTTACATTGGTCTTTCTCTGGTTTCATTTCAAAACCCATGAATCTCTTAACACAAAAGACAGAGACTTTTGTCAAAATCTGAATCTGGTGATGAAAACTGGATTTAAAGAAGGAAAGAAAGAGATATAAAACAGGGCAAAAGATAGAGATACCATTATCGAGACAAAACCAGGGGCTGTTCTTTTTCTTACTATGGGCTTATGTTTTATTTCAAACAGCGGATTCTTTTTTTTTTAATCCGTTTCGGTCTTTGTAGAGGGGCAAATATGGAAATATACACATAACAAAAGGAAATATATTTATAGCATATACGTAGTTGCTACTTCCTTGGTCGGTTTATCCGGTTATTTTTTTGACATATCTCTCACAGAATTGCTGATTCATCTGTTTATGACATATGATGTTTTTAGCAAAAGAGAATTTATAGATCCATGCATATTATTTTCAAATATATGAATATAAAAAGTATAGTAATAAGTGCTATTTATGAACCGTAGGATGCTTTAATTGAAAGCATTCTTGTGTATATAGTTTAGGGAAAAATGTCGGGTTTAGCCCTGAAATATCTTCCCCCGGGTTATATGGGAATACAAGTAGTGAGTACTAGGAATCTTTGTGCTTGGTATTCTTAATATGATTTTCATAGTATATTTGTTATTTTTGGCATCATATCATATCTTTAGTAATATTATTTATTTGTATTATTTTGGTAGGTACTATAATTATCCATTTACAGTTTATATATATATATATAATTTGAGATCTTTGAGTCTTGAAAACCCATAACAACCTGGTATTGCTTACCAACTCTGTGGGGATTTATTATTTTAAAAAAAAAAGAGAGCAGCAACTAGCAATTATATTAACGTTTAGAAACCTCGAATATCATTTCCATCCGTCCCTTTTTCAACACGATTTTAAGGACAACAATACTTAGTGCGTAAGTTTTTTTACGTTGTTTGAAATTTTATAAAAGGACTAGACCTAATTTATAGCGAATGGAGGCTCGTACACATCTTTCTGTGTTCCACTTTCACTATGGGAACCAAATGATATCATCCTTGGCTTCTTTGGCAACACTTCTTTATCCACTATACAGCATTTTGTTAATGAAGCTGTGAGGATAGGATACATCCATGGGCTGTGGTCTCATTTGCTGTTGCCATGTTTCCATAACATGTAAGCTTAACTCTCTTTGGTACATTTTCGGATTGTAAATTTATTAGGTCAGCAGATGGAATTTGCTCTGCCACTAGGGACTAGTGATGTTGAAGAGAAAAATTTCATGCAACAATAATGAGGTTCCTGGAGCATCTCCTCCCAGTTGTTTTTCAATCTTTTTTTTTTAACTTTAGTTATTTTGATTTTTTACTGAGTTATTTTTGTATATTTATGGGATCATTTTTTTATACTGTGGGAATCCCAAAGATTTTTTAGATCTAAAGATTAATCTCACGATAGTCATAAAAATTTGGATTTTCTTACCATTTAAGACGTCTATGGGTGGCCAATACTACTCAAACCCATGGCAAAAGTTTCAGCTGAAATTTTTTTATCACTAGACCAAGGTGACTTGATTATCTTTATGGATCATATGTTATTTTCTGCTTCTCTTCATTAGATTTTAATCCTTTTCTTTGCAATGTTTAGACTTTAATCCTTTCTCTGGATAATTAGCTACATGAACACAAGAAGAGAGAAGATACCACAAAAAGCAAACGTAGTACAAGAATTAGCTATATTCGCTTACTCCTTTTTACATCTTTTCGTTAAGTTCATATACACAAAAAAATACATTTACAAGTTATAACGTTTTTCATTTTCACCCCTTAATTCATTATTTCCTGAACTAAATAGAAGCAAAAAAACATCAAAAACGTTGTCTTTAGTTAAGACATAGTAATCAATAAAAACAAATGTTCTAACAGCGTCTTCCGACTCTGCAATCAAGTGCTCCTGCGTATTTGGTCAGCTTTGAAACAGCGTGTCCATTTTTCGGTTTAATCATGTTTCTTCTCGTGTGATCATTTTCGTAATGAGGATCTCCAGATTGTCTGAAATAAGCTCCATTCATGAATATATCCTTTTCAGATTTCCAGTTCCAGTGTTTCCACTCTTCTTCCGGAGCATAGTCTCTCTTGGTCACCTACATTTGTTAAAAAAAAAATTCACTAAGTTTACAATCTACCCAAACTTTTGTTTTAAGCAATGTTGTTACACATTATTGTTAGTTACCTCTCTGTAATGAGGTAAGTGTGGAGGAGCTATGAATCGGTTCCCATGGCTGAGAATTGTTGGACCTTGACTGCCTCCTATAGCGTAAAGCTCCCAATGAGTGTAGTCATTGTTCACAACGTGAACAAAGCCCCACCTGATCCTTGGCATCCTCTGCACAAGTCCTTTACCAAAATGGTTATAAGCCACTGTCACTTGCATCTTCTTGTCCGCATCATAAGTGTTTTGTGCACCAAGCAACATCACCTACACAATCAAAAGTCCCAAAAAAAAAACAAATTTAGTTTATAAAAAACTAATGGTAAGATACTATAACCCGTTTTAGGCAAAGCCCGATAAAACATTCATATTAGTCTCAATTTTTTTAAAGTTATTATAAGTATGGTCGTATAATCATAAAATTATCAAAAAATATTAGTAAGATTTTTTTTCTTTTGAATGAACTATATTAGCTCTTAACTAATGGTTTGACATTTTGTTTTGTTATTTTTTACACTTTTCGGCTAAGAGACAGCTCTTATATCTTTTATTTAAGAGACGGTTCTTAGTTTTTCTTAGTTAAAATCTAATAAAAACTAAGAACCGTCCCTTAGCCGAAACTAAGAACTATAGTTAAGAGACCGAGGTTATTGATGGTCTAATAGTAAGATTAGTCTAAAATGTTTATGGTCTTACGTCGTTGTGGTGAGTGAAGTGAGAGTTGGAGATTGTAATGGCAGTGGATCCAACAATGGCATCAATGAGTCCATCTTGACATTTCGACATGGAGATATGGTCAAGCCAAATATTAGACGAACCATATATAGACAAACCGTCTCCATCAGCTCTTGTCCTCATACCAAAATGGTCTGCCGAGTCACGGATCATACCACCGGCACTCTCAGATATATGGTGAATATGCAACCCATGGATAATAACATGTCTCACAAACTGCATCGTGACCCCCGCGCCATGCGCGATATGGACATTAGCTCCTCTAGCATCGATGGTCTTGAAGCTGTTAATGAGCAGCTCTTGGTTTAAACGAATGCTCATATCGTTCTTGAAAATGATCCAAAGAGGTTCCTTCTGTATCACGGCGTGACGCAACGTCCCGGGCTCAGGGTTCACCATGTCCTCGTCGAGGTTGCTTGTAACCACGTAGATGCGTCCATGTTTTCCACCGACCGTCATGTGTCCGAACCCACGTACACATTTGACAAGCTTCTTGCGACGCTTAGCCCAATTCTTACGGCAACGCCAACATTTATCTATAGGGTTACTTGCTGTGCACGGTCCTTTGAGTTTACTCCATTTGCCTTTGCCTTTACCTCTTAAGCTACGTCTCGTGCTGTTCGTTGAGTTATCTCCGACCATTTCAATGATCTCATTCTCCACCTCTTCAGGCTTCTCGGCGACGACGTTGTCTTCCTCGGTCGGTGTAAGATCAGTAGAGTTGCTATTATTACACATCAAACCAAAACAAGAATTAAATATTAGTAATGTTTAGTGATTGGTGTAATTAAACTTTGGCTTACTCGTAGTGACGTTCGTGAAAGTGATCGACGATTTCGTAAGGATCAGAATGGTAAGCTTGAATAGTGAATTCTCGGGCTTCATCGGCACGTTGGGACCAATACTCGTCCATCTCAGATATGTTGGCTCGTATGGTCGGAATCAGACAAGCAATACAAAACAGTAACATCAACTTTAACAGCTTAGCCATAATAACCATCTTATTAGATATTTGTTTGATCTATTTTTTTCTCTAAGAAAAAAAATTGTTTTATTTTAAGATATAAGTGTTTCCCCTGTTTTCTTAAGGGATTAATGGGGAATTTATTAAGCTTTTTAAAAACATAGATCGTTTTCTGTTTATTTAAATATTTCTTTGGAAGCCTGTAGCCTTTAGATGATGGACCGTACTGCGAATTTTACGAAACGTAACGAGTGGTGTTTAGATAAACTTGATCGAGAAGCACTCTCTAGTTTTAGAAAGTTACCGGCAATGATGGAGAGCTGGCCATCAATGTTTTATTTTATTTGTGGACAGTTTCTATGTTTATGTTTTATTTTAGCTCCCATATTTTGTTAGGTATTATTTGGGATATAAATAGCATTTGTTTTTAATGATCCCATATTATTAGTTCCGATCTATTATTTCATCAAAAAAAATTTAGGCATATATTTCTTTCTTCATAAAGGTCGTTCATTTTATATTTATGAATTTGTTGTGTTTCACTTCTAAAAAATACAACAATTAAGAATTAATTGTATCTTTTGTGGGTTATGAAACTTTGACTCAAGATGAAGCGACTCAATGCTGGTTTGAGTTTGACAAGTACGAATTAAATAACCAAGTAATGATAGTCTAGTGTCAATTTCTTTGGACTTGGTGTGAACCCATATTAATCATGTTTCGATTCTCTCTAGAATTTTTTTTTTTTTTCGGTCAGTTTCAATTTGGATTTCTAGAAACTTAATTATCATTATTTGGCCAGTTTCGATTTAGATTTCGGTCTAAGTGGTTTACATGATGGATCGTAACAGATGATCGATTCATTTCATATTAGTCGAAAAGTATTTTAAACTTAGATCATGCGATTTTGTAACTAATAGGTGCGTGTCTCTCAAGGCTGACCGACCGGATTAGCCGATAGGAGAAAAAAAATACGATTTAATCATATGTATGAAACAATTTTTAAAATACTCTGAACTAAATTAGATAATTAGTTTCACATTAAAATCAGATTTTCATAGACAACCGTCCATCGTTTTTTACATTAATCCATTAAAGAGTTACCGTAACATCGGTTACAAAAATATCTCCTTGCCGCTTTAAAAAACGATAAAAGCTTCTTTGACCATTTAGCCTTTTGTTTGTTGTGCCTTTGTCCACACAAAAGAGCTTATGTAGTTGCTCCTTTAGGCTTTGGAGAAGGAACCTGATGTCGAAAAGGCGAAGAACCATGTTGACCATGAGGACTAGACAGTGTCCTAAACACAGGTTGCGGTTGTCCGTTTCTTGATCCAAACCCATTACCTCCCTGAGACCTCCCTGAACCATTTTTCAAACGTTCTGCTTGCATTGTCTGAAAGTAGTAAGAAGAGCTCGCCATGTCCTTAAGATGCGGAAGTGGTTTAAGTGCTTCGACAACATCACTCATCTTTGGCCTAATCTTAGGGTCACGGCTTAGACATTGTGCAGCAAGCTGAGTCACTTTTTGAGCACCTTTGATTGAGAAATGACCCTCGAGTCTCGGATCAAGTAACCGGTAAAACCTTCTTTTGTCAAGTAGATGCGGCCTTGCCCATTCCACTAAGTTGTGCTCACCGTTTGGGCGGTTCTTGTCCATGGACCGTCGTCCAGTAAGCATTTCGAGGAGAACAACACCGAAACTATAAACGTCGCTCTTTGATGTCAAGTGACCTTAAAGAGTTTCAATGGAAAGAAAGTCAACAAAGATGGAAACAAACTAAGTAAATAGATGAAAACAAAGAGGACACTCACCAGTCATTACATACTCAGGAGCAGCGTAGCCATATGTACCCATAACTCGTGTAGAGACATGTGTTTTGCCTTCATCAGGAGCGTCTTTGGCAAGTCCAAAATCAGATAGTTTTGCATTGTAGTCCTGAAAAAAATGTGAATTTATAAATCAAAACTCCAAAGTGTTGTGATGTTGATGGACAGGAGTAAAGATACATACTGCATCAAGTAAGATGTTTGATGTTTTGAAATCTCGATAAATGACAGGCTTCAAAGCTTCTTCATGGAGGAAACTGAGACCTTTTGCAGCACCTAATGCAATCTTCATCCTGATAGACCAAGGAAGAGGCAACGACCCTTGGAACCAAAACAAAAAAGGATTAAACATTTGACAACATTGAGAATAATTTGATTTACATGAGGTTGTGGGGCGTTTACATACTTCTGAAAAGATGATTCTCCAAGCTTCCTCGAGGCATGAACTCATAAACAAGCAGCCTTTGATCATCTTCAATGCAATAACCAACCAGCTTAACTAGATTCGGATGAAGAAGGTTACCAAGGAAATTGATCTCAGCCTACAAATGCAAGACCACATTTAAAAGTGAAACTAAGTCATAAACAAGGAAAAGAAGAAGAGAAGAGATTATCTTACAAGCCATTCTTTGTGACCTTGAAGACCATCAGGATTCAACGTCTTGACAGCAACAGTAAGCCCAGTACCAGGTTTAACAGGAGCAGTTCCGTTTTCTTCAATCCATCCTTTAAAGACACAACCAAAACCTCCTTCTCCAAGAAGAGACTCTGGTCTAAAGTTTCTAGTAGCTAGCTTAAGGTCATTGAAAGTAAAGTTCCTCAAGTTAGAATAAGCCTTAAGCTCTTCACTGATCATTGGAGTTGATGAAGTGCTTCCTCCATTGCTAGTTGTTGTGGTTGAGGAAACAGGACCAGCTGCTTGTTCAGTTGATTTTTTACTTTCCATTGTAGTAACTAAAACAAAAAAAAAAGCATAACCACAGAACACAAACAAAGATTAACTCCTAACTTTGGTAACAAAGAAGAATCTTGCACACAAGATGGCAAACCCTAGATGGACAAATATAGAAATAAAAAAAAAACCCACAAGGAAAGTTTTTATTTTTAGATTCAAAGGGAAAGACTTTAATATATATATATACCTGTGCTGGTGGTAGTGGAAGCATCAAGGTCTGATTTTGAAGGTAAGCAACCAATCATGAACCTAAACTTGACCCAACACCCACTTGGTTCTCTTTCTTCTTCTTCTTCTTGAAAGGGTTGGCCTTTAGTGTTGCAAACGACATCGTTTTTTTCCTTCCTTTTTTGATTCTCAGTCTCGTTAGGTTTGGTCTTCGATTGAGCTTTGACAGGATCGGTATTGTCCAAAGCCATCTCACCAAAGACAGGTTACAGAGATGATTTGTTTTGATCAGAGCAGCATAGTAGTTTTTGGAAAGAATCAAAGAAGAACAAAACCTAAAGGGGAATTAGAGAGAGAAAGAGAAAAGGAAGTGAGATTCAGTAAGGGAATGGATCAAAGCCCCAAGTCGCGTAATTTTAGTCAAAAAGGAGGAATTGATGTCTCCGGTGAGAGAGAGAGAGAGAGAGAAGATGAGGAAAAGTGAGATTTTTTTCACATGTGCTTCTACAGTAACATAATTGAAATTATAAACAGCTTTAAAGACCTGATTATTGATTAATTAATTCAATAATTATTATAGCTAACCTACAAGGAGTATTATTATTGGTTTCAAATCTCCTGGTCCTGGATATGTGTTTTATTTTTGTCTGCTTGGAACCACCAAATTATCAAACACTGCTTATTATTCTTTGGGATAAAGGTACGAATCGTATTCCATTTCAATTTATAAATCTTTCCTCTTTTTCGTTATCACACATCCAATTATAAATGATTTTTGTTTTGAGAATATAATGTACATAGAAAAGCTTGGAAATTTCTTTCATATATTACTAACCCCAAAAAGGAATTATTCAAAACAATTAATGATCAAAACCAAAAAAACTGAAGATGTTAGTTTATTCAATTAGAAAAGAAAGGAAAAAAATGTCTACAATGTGGATTAGTCGGCAGTCGTCTAATTTGTTACTTTTTTTTAGCTTTATCTATTAGTAGACGTCTAGTTCTTGTTGAAGGGCCAGAGTTTTACAAGACGCTCCAGCACGGCGGCGCTTTTCGAGAAGTAACCGGAGAAGCCAGCCGGAATTGACGGCGGAGGAAAATCCTCTGGCGGCATTGCAAATGGACGTATCATCTTCTCCATTGTCTCCAGTGTCAAACACGAACCAACCTCTTGAAGCCTCTCTGGTCCCATTATTGGAAGTGTGTGTTCCCTCAGTAATGATTTTGCTTCCTCGTTTTTCTTCTGTTGTACCATATATATACCATTAAAACCATTTATATTTCTTGTCCATAAAACAACAAAGTAGCTTGTTAAAATATCTTTGTCACTATAACAAACCACCATGAAGAAATTAAAATGATTGTTAAAATATCTTTGCTTTTAGATATACCTCTAAGGGAGACAAGTCTGCACCACGGCTACATGTAAGTTCGATTCTGAATCGTTCCGGGTCTTCCAGAGATTCCTGCAGGTTACAGTTTACATGTTTCAGTTATATATAAGTTGACTTGAAATTTTGAGTGAAAAAGGAGAAAAAAGACAGGTGCATTGTAAACCTCAGTGTTCTCGAACAGTCTTAGGACAATGTAGCTCATGTAATCAAGTTCTTTCGTCTTACAAAGGCGTTCCAATGCGCTTTGGCAGACGAGACTTTCTTCTCCTTGAAGAGATTCATCCAGGTTACAATACCGTAGAACGTTCATCAGAGAATGAATATGTGATTCCTGTCAATCGTTACATAGCAGAGAGTCATGTATAAATGCATCCACTTGAGTTACACTGATTATCAAGCTACAAAGAGAAAAAAGGGAAGGAACTCACAGATGTGAAGTAAAGGCGTGTCCTCACGTGACGTTCAGGCGTCATGACATTTGCATACCTGAAGGGAACACAGTGAAACTGAGAAAGATAGACAGGATATAAAGTCACTTGAACAGGAAAAGAGACTTTTGAAGTTTACTTTGGATCTAGTCGGTATTTGGTTTCTTTATCATCATCTTCATCTTTATTCTCTCCATTGGTAGGCCGTTTCAACTCATCGCTTTTAATGTAAAGTTTCGGTTGACTATATCTATCCTCCTTTCTCGACGAATATAATGATACCGAGACTTGATCTTGGCTGTTCTTCAGTTCAGCAACACTCATTGCCTCTTCTCGAGTATTCCTCAAGTCGATCAAGATTTTACCAAGCAACCGACGAGCAATCTTTAAAGTCAGAAAACAAAAAGAATTACAACATATAGTAAGCCACTAGATATTATATGCTTTCGTGGGAGTTAGAATTAAAGCCACCTTTGAACCGATTTGGAGCTTCTGTTGTGGATTTATCCCGTACTCATTTGGTATTACACCGTCTGCAAGTAACTGCAACCACGTAACAAATAACTGACTCTATCAACACAGTCCATGATTGAAATGCAAAACAGAGATGTAACAATAGTAAGGCACAGTTTGAATCTGGAAATCTACAATGCATGACTCGGTAAAATGGTAGTAGAGTGGTACTTATCAAATCTTCAATGTACATTGATAAGTACCATTGAAGTTTCAGAAAGTGAAAGAGAAACTTCATTTTTTATTCACTTCATACCTGAGCAATTTTGAAGAGTTCGTCTAGTCCTTTCAGGTCGAGATGAGAATTATGTAACAGGTCGTACCTGGTATTAACACATTGTATGATACTCAGAACGGAGCAGTTAGAAGCTAGCATCAATATATAATAAGATTGAAATGCAAAGCTTACTTGCATGAATCGTAAACATCGGGAATCTGCGTTAAGTCAAACCGACTGCATTTATTTCAAACCATCAGTTCCATTTTTTTAAAATAATTCATGCAGAAGAGAAGGATGATAACTTGACAAGCATTGGTAAGTCCAATATAGCTTACTCTCTTCTTTCGTTGTAGAGATCCCTTTCGAGTTTTTTCCACCGAGCATACATCAAAAGGAATCCTTCACTACCACAAGGTAATCCAGCAGCAATCCGTCCAACGTCAATGTTTGACTTGCCAAGGGCCTTTGCTTGATCATAGGGAGGGGCTAAATCATAGGCGCTAGGCTCAGTGAGATTCTCGTCTTCTTCTTTTGCAAGTAGCCTCACTTGTTCAGTCACCTTTTTAACTAGTTTGATCTATTCATTTAGAAAGTAAAGAAACAAGTAACGTTGAGTATATGTTTTGTACTCTTCAGCAAAACCTTTTCAATCGCTATGCACTCGCTTTTAAGAAATAACACTAGTAAAAAAATGTAAGAAACATGCAAATGATACTGACGATGGCCTTTGAAATATGATGCCCTTTAACAGTAGAAATGCTAGAAAGCCCTCAAGATTAAAAGATGCTAACAGACTAATGTTTGCAGAAAAGAATCTGAGTACCAATTCAGGTAGGTGCTCATCAGCGTGAGGAGGAAGTCCAGCCCCATCGATCATCCAAGGTAATTCAGAAGAGACGTAATCCTGTACCAACTTTGTGCCAGCGGTAATGATCTCATTCAGTTGAGCCTGAAAGGAAAATAAGGAAAGGAATTCAAAGCTGTTAATAATTACACATGATTGTTTAATGCATATTTGAGAGTATAGTTCACCCTATTTTACGCAGATGAAATTCAACAAAATGCATGAAAAAAAGAAGTTCAAACATCAGAATCTAGAACGCTATTCATGTCACTATTGATCATTGGTTGATGCTTCAGACGTGTACCAAAACAGGTTTTCATTTGTCTCATATCTGCTGAATACACAATTGAGTTGTCAATAAAGAGTGGGAAAAACCTTGGCTTCTTCCATTTCAGTGCTCGCAGTATCAAGGCCATCCAACATGGAAGAGTCCTTGCTAACCAGAGAAACCTAGAGAAGGAAATTTAGAAAATTAGTGATTACGACAATGGCAAGTACGATACTACCTTGATAAAAGAAAACCGCGAACCAGGATTGGGGTCAGCTGTCCTTCTAGGTCCAGCAGGCCTTTAGCAAAAGCGGCTGCAGACATCTGCAAGCAGTGCAACCGAAGAAGAATATACATAAGACTGAGTGTGATATCTCAATGCTCTATGGTCCATCTTCACTACTAAATAGGTATAAATTTGTACCTGAACACGTCCCTCGTCAGAACTGTAAATTTTAAGGTCATGACGGTATGTACTGTGGAGACGGAGCAAACCGGTACCTTCACCTGCAAGCATATCCCGTTTAGTTATAAACCAGTCAGAAATAAAACAAACACCAACACAATGAATGAATTGTTTCCAAATTGTATGAGATATATGGAAAGTGGAACATAAATAATCGGACAAATAGAAGCAGATCAAGTGCCGGTCGTCACCTGGATACATATTGTTTCGAAAGTATCTACCAAGTTCTTCTGCCTGTGGAAAAAAGCAAGCAAGTGTTAAAGAATACGTCAACCCTCTGCAATGATGTCAAATGTCCTACATTAAAAGTCCATTAGCAATACCATTACGTTTGCATTTAACATCATCTTCCGATACCAAATAACAGTTTTACCTGCTTTCGACCAGCATGAGTTAGAACACCCCCATATTTCAGAACCATAAGAGCCTCCACTGGGCGTTCTTCTTCACCTTCGCCATCACTCTTTGTTACTTTTTCCCATTTCAGCGGCTTTAGCTGAACCTTTCTGTATATGCCTGAGAAATGTCCACCCTACATGTTTTACACATATATGACATGAGACGGAGGTTGCAAAAATTGTGTACCAAACATCCTTCGAAAAAAAAAGTAACGCTGTCGCTGCTACTGGGTACAAGGACTATATTCAACAAAACGACAATGGGCTGCATAGAGATAAGGAAAATAATTTTTAACCTCTTCAAGAACAGCTTTCACTTGCCGAAGCTTGTCAGCATGTTCAAGGTCGTCACTATCACTTTCACCTGGTCTAAACACCAAACAGAAATACAACAAGGTAGTTAGGTAATTAGGTAGTAGGGACGCAGCTGGAAAATATTTAACAGAAACATCAGGACTGTTCCAAGAATAAGGTAAGTTCCTTCATTTCTTTTAATATAGACATGAAATCCATGGATCCATCCATAGGCTATGTTCAGTCGTAAGGACTCGAGCAAGGGAAGTCATAAGATCACTATCAGAGGTGTACCTTGTACGAGGAATTAACATTCTTGTAGCATCCAATAGATCTTGCAATTCGACGGCACTTTTAAGTTTTGTCTGCGAGTAAGAATAAATATGCACACTGCACAGCATCAAAATCACTGTAGCCGAACGAATATGAAGAAAGAAAAGCCTGCGCCTCTTACCTCAGCTCTTGGCTTTCCTCCATTGTACTTCAGCATCAGGTTTAACAGTTTTTCCTCTGTAACTTTTAGTTTCACTTTTTGCTTAGGGGTTCTATCACCGCTGCCAAGAGAAGTTAAACACAATTCAGAGTCTGGGTAAAATCTAGAGGGGTTTAAAGAGGACAGATGGTCATATGCTTAGACATACTGCCGAACAACAGCAATGACACAACGTAGCTCCTCCGACTGCCCAAATGTTCCAATGATGCCACTTCCTTGGCGAGTTAGACCTTCGTTAGCTAAGATAGGTTCATTGATCTTCCATGGCAGAATGGGAGGAACTGTCGAAGAAAGATGAGGAGCCTTTGCATCCAAAAACATTTTCCGCAGCACACAAGCAGCATCGTCATAGTACCTTAAAGTGAAAGAGAACTGAAGACTTCAATTTATGATAGAATTGTGATTTGTGATTTCCCTGTGAAGATATAATTGAAACAGCAATGCGAAGTGGAATAAAAGTCAGACTAGTATCTCACTTGTAAGAGTTCTTCACAAAACTCCATCCATTAACGTCACAAACGTATGAACTTCCCTCAGATCGTAAGAGATCAAATCCACAGACCTGCAAACATGAAAATGACTCCGTTAATACATGCTATCAGACAGTAACAACTATCATTTTGCCTGGAAACACAAACAACATGTGTGTATGCTTGTCCTTTTACCAGACAATAATTTGTCACACGTTACCAAGCATTTAGTTGGAACCAGTAGATAACCAATAGAGCAATTAGTTAGCGTATCTTTCAATCACACGAAGTAATCTTTCCTGTGATTACAATGGAATCAAGCAGTTACCACTTACCACGGAGTCTATAGTGGAAGCGTGTATGAAAGAGTTGGTTCAATGGTAATTTATATTTCAACTCAGTGATCTTAAATCTAAGAACTGTGATAGAGAATAGTCATCAAGACAAAATGGCGGCCAGATTAGTGTAATCACAACATACCGCTTGCCTAAATGCAATGCAAACTTCTCTTGCCATTTGCTTCTCAGCGGGTGTAAGCAGAACTGGATACCTCACCTGTCCAATTAAATTACAATACCACATCAAAGTTTGAACATCAGCGTTTCTATACGTTCATCTCTATATAGATACCCTGTTAACCTTAGCTCCATTCTTCAGAGAGAAGAGCCACGTAAGGTTTCATATGTGGAAGGGTTTGGTAATAATTAGCAGACTTACTTCCTTCCCATCAGGGTTTCTCATTACGACACCATCGACAACAGGGGATTTTCTTGCTTCAGCGTGTGCATATTCGGGACCCACAGTGTAGACCTGCATTTCAGGGTACATGACCAAACAGATCAACGAAAAAAAAAAGCATAGGACATCAAACAGCAACTTACGAAATGTAAACGACCTGGATAACGACAAGAGCCTAAAAACACATTGCAATGCACTAAGAAGATTAAGTTGCCTGGAACTCAGACTAGAACAGAATTATCTTATCTAGAAGAATCAGAATCACACCTTGACATCAGTTCCTCCAGTAGGCATAAACTCCTCATATATATAAGAACCCTCTCTCCTTACTCTTCTGACCTCAGGATGAAATTCACTTGAACGATTCCCAACCTAAAACAAAAACTTGGGTCAGACAGATAGTTTGATCTTAGAAGAGCTACAGGAATGGGACACAAAGGATTACAATATATTTAACTAGACAGTTCAATCCTAGAATAGCCAAGTTCTGCAGAAAGAGAAAGAGTTTGCGCATAACTATTGTGAATGGTCCACTATGGTAATGTACAACATATATTTACAATAGAAAGACCAAACTCAATCCACGAGAAGCAAAGTTAGGCAGAAAGATGGAGTACCTTACGAAACAGTTCTTTCATGCCTCCACCTGCTGAGCTAGGGTAGTATATCATTATGCTATGGTCATCTCCTTTACAAACACAAAGAATGTCAATATTAGTGGACAGTGCAAATAACTGCAAATAAGAAAAGAAAAAAAAAATATGACGACTGATAGCCAAAAACGATTAGATTAACCTAATACCACCAAAACAAGCACTCAACGAATTTAAGATTCATTTATTATTAACTTAAAGTGGATATTGCAGAGAGAACACTGAAGTACTATATAAACAATATCTGAAAAGATTAACCTAATAACCCCCAAAACGAAAACATTCAGAGACACAGAATTCAAGCTTGACTATTCGTGTGATAAGAACGATTAATACTAAACAGAAAGCAATTAGAGAGATCAAAGATGTGAACAGAGAAACTGACCATTGACGGGCTTTTCCACAAATGGCTTCCAGAACCGTTCACCTTTAACCTCAACAAAGTCTTCATCCTCGACGAAATAATCAAGGTCTTGGTTGGGTACTTTTCTGTTGACACAAGCATATCTGGGAACTGGGATACCATACATCTCAAGATGCTACAGGATGCACATAAATACGATGTTTTATTTTTTAAGAAGAAAGCATGTAGATTTCCGTTTTCATGAACAATGAAAATCTGAAGGAAAGAAAATGAATGGGAGGCATGAAAAGTATGCACTCTTATGCATACCTCATACACTTTCCGTCGGTCATGAAGAAGGTATTGCGGATCCAAATCATTCACTAAAAAGGGCCTGAATCATAAGAAGTTTGAAAAAGGCGACCTCAAAATCTAAACTCAACTAATTCTGACCGGTAAAAGTGAGCAGTTTTACTGAACTATCAACAAAAGTCAAAAAAGGAAGAACTTACTTTCTTAAAGAAGAATATGCTTGAACTTTCTCAAGAGGATATCCAGAGGAATGGAAAGCAATCAGACAATCACAAATCGGCCAACTGAAACAGAAAAAAAAAATCCCTGCTGAATTATTGGTCCCAGAATCTAACTGTACTTAAATAATCATTAAATAAACTAATTAATTAAATTAATGTGTTAACAAATACATGCATCACGCCGATTAAATACGAAGATGACACAAAATAGCACATAACCAAATGTTTAAAAAACGCTAACAATTCATTTGTTCACACTTCACACACATACCTTTCTACAGGATCTTCAAGTATAACCTTGTCCCCAAAATGTATGATCTAGCAAAAAAGAGGTAACAAAGGTTCCATGAGATCACATCCCACAAGCAAAAGGGGAAAAATAAAAAGTCTATCCACCAAAAAACGACAACAACTTAACATCCTTCAATTATAATCACGAATTAAAAAGCATATTCATTCTAAGTGGAAGACCAAAACTACAGTCTACAGTCTCTGAATCATCAAATCAAAAAACCTGAGAAACAAAAACACTGCTGATTCCGTTCATCAATGGAGAGAATAGTTAAGATGTACCTCAAATTCGCCAAACGCCTGTATTCTATCCATGATTTGTTCCATTGGAGCTGAGAAAACCTGCAAAAAAAAAAAAAAAAAATTCACACGAAAACAAATCTGTTAGTGAGACACCAAAGAGTATTAAACAAAACAAATAAAAAATCCATAAAACAGAATTATCGCAATAATCTCATTCTTCTTCAGGTACAAGCCACGAAAAGGAAACGAAACCTCGGGGCTGCACTTCACCTTCTTTTCCATGACGCAGACTCCGATCGTTATCTTCTTATCACCTCCTCCTCCTCCTGCATCTATCCCCATTCTCACTCTAGATCGTTCAACGATTCTACAGAACGACGACGTTTCACTCTCTTCGTTCAATTATATCAAAGAAAAATCACAAACAGAGAGACTAAATATCTTCGGTTTCGTGAATCATGGACGCGACTAAGATAGGGATCAATCGAGAGAAGGAAACATGTAGAGAGCAAAATGCGAGATCTCGCGGAGAAAAAGTCGAGGAGACGTTACTCGGGGGAAAACGATAAACGCAAGCGGAGCTATAGTGCTGTAAAAGGCACGAGGAGAGAGAGGAGATTCAGGCGTCAGGGGCGTTGCATTGAATTGACTAAAATATTAATATTTGGAATTAGAGCATATTAGAGGGTATATAAAAGATTTACGAATATTTTAATTAGTCACCGACCACAGCTAATGCAAAATACTATTTGGAGAAAATATTGAATAGTGTGGTTACATAATATTCACGCTGTTCTTTTTAGGAAGTTGTTCTCTAAATGTCTAAATGAGTAAAGTCAAATATAACGCGTATTATAATAGTTTGGTTATTTTATTCTGTTACCAACCATAAAACTTTTGTAAAGTAATCGAAATGGTCCAAGGTGTCTCTCGTCAAATATATTATAATCCAGTCAAAATGTTAGAAAGAGCAAAAAATGTTGAAGAAATATAGCAGGTGGAGCTTATATTTAAATTGTGTGTTGGTTGAAGCTATAATTCAAAGCGTTGTTGACGCATGGTTAGACTGGGTCCGTCCACTAATTATTTTTTATTAGGTTTCTTGTAATAGTATCAAATCTGGAGATAAAAACAATGGAATGAAACAAAGACAAATGTACTCACGAGATTATATTTTAATGATATTTTGAAAAGAAATAGATTTTAGTAGAAAATATGTATGTACTGGTGCAAAACATCATATAATATGAAATTAATAGAGGGAGTAGAGGATTTCTTGTAATAGTATCAAATCTGGAGATAAAAACAATGGAACGAAACAAAGACAAATGTACTCACAAGATTATATTTTAATGATATTTTGAAAAGAAAATGTACTGGTGCAAAACATCATATAATATGAAAATTAATAGAGGGAGTAGAGGATTTTTTGTGGAAAACAATTTGAGACTTGTACTTATTGATCCAAGAAGATCTTTTATGAAAGCTTAACCTCTAAGACTACGAATGGTGATCGTCTATACACTTCGTACCGCTCTGAATAATAACAATTTTTTTTACATATTCTTATGTATTTATACATTGTTGTTATTAATTGAATCATAACGCATTTATTTTGTAGTTGTCTAACACGTTACCATTGAGAATCCAAAAATGGAATAGTTACATGCAAAGTTAATTTGACTAGGCCACTAGCCTTAAAACTTTAAAATTAAGAAAAGAGATCATATCTCGACTTAATGCATATTTACGAAAACGTTTACATATTAGTTTTCATTTTTTTCTTTTCAGTCGTTAATCTCTCTTTGTTCATAAACTTTCATTAAATCATATAAATAATCCAGGGCCAAAACTGGATCTAATACTAGAGAGTTGCTTAATATGATATTTGTCGGAACATCAACTTCAAAATTAGCAAGGAAGATGAACAAACACGATACCAATAAAGGTAGATGAAATTTGCTTTATATCTTTTACAATACCATTTTTTTGCATGTCGTTGTTGATACCTCTAACATACGCCGAGTTGTTGGAGAGTATCAGGAGAAACCCCATCATCGCTGCGGTGTGAAGACCCGATCAAAGTATTAAGGCTTCGACGATCAGTGAATTATTTACAAAGTCTTGAGTTGTCAATCTCTTTAATTTTGCGATTTACTTTATATCATTTATGTTAAATTGGTTTTCCGAAACTCTACAATATAAATGTGTGAAGTCGTTGTTGAAACCTCTAACAAACGTCGAGTTGTTGGAGAGTATCAAGAGAAACCCCATCACCGCTGCGGTGTGAAGACCCGATCAGAGCATTAAGGCTTCGGCGATCAGTGAACTGTGTTACAGAGTCTTGAGTCGTCAATCTCCTTAATTTTGCATTTATTTTATATCATTTATATTAATTTGGTTTTCCGAATCTCTACAATGTAAATGTGTGAAGAGGTTAATATGCTACACTAGTCAACTAATAATGAAAAAAAATTGAGCTACAAGACTAATATAATGCATATGTCATCTTTTTTCAACAAATCTGATATTCATTGATCATGGTTTGTATATGTCAAAGAAAGCAGATGTCTTCTGGGTTTCAAAAGAGAAGGACATCGACAACTTTCAAACTCTTCACAGTTTCATAATCTTCCCATTTGGGTAATTAACATATTCGGAATATGACTAAAAATAGATATGATTATCTACCATAAAAGTGTAGGATAGGATTCTAGTGGGTCTTCCTTAGATGTATGCTAACAACAAATCTTAGGATCTAGCGTTTTGTTAATTAAAAAAAACACTAAAAAATCTATCTTTAAAGAATGTAAATAGTCTTCGATCAACAAATAAAACACAGAACGTAAGTAGTATTATTAATGAGTATTTTCAGTATCAATGTGGAACATTGTCCTAGTGTGGACATTCTCCCTCGAGATTGTTAGACAAAGTATTTCCCTTGAATGTACGTTGTATTGATCACTTGAATATATACAAAGGTTTGTTACAACAATACTGAGATCTTCCTATATTTACTCTAACATGACCAACAGAATATATGGAATATTCTTTGGTTGCTAATACTCCTCCGCAGTCGAAGCGTGGAGTTTACGTTACGCCGAGACTGGAGCGAAAACTATTGAATAGAGAGGAAGGTAGCCCTTTAGTAAAGATGTCTGCATACTGATACTCGGACGGTATGTGTATGACACGAACTTGACCCATCTGAACTCTCTCTCTGACAAAGTGAATGTCTATCTCTATGTGCTTTGTTCTTTGATGCTGCACAGGGTTTGTAGATAGGTAGACTGCGCTGATATTGTCACAGTAGATAATGGTGGCTTGTGGGATGTGAAAGTCCATCTCTAGGAGGAGATTTCGTAGCCAGCAAGCTTCTGCAACAACATTAGCTACACCCTTGTACTCTGCTTCTGCGCTTGACCGTGACACTGTTGGTTGCCTCTTTGCTGACCAGGATATTAAGTTGTCACCCAGGTATATGCAGAAGCCTGAAGTTGATCGACGAGTGGATGGACAGCCTGCCCAATCTGCATCAGAGTAGCCGGTCATAGTCATCTTTTGGTTCTTCAAGAGTTGCAGACCGAGATGTTTGGTTCCTTGTATATACCGCAGCACGCGTTTCAGAGCCAGAAGATGAGGTTCTCTTGGGTCATGCATAAAGAGACAAACCTGTTGAACGGCATAAGAGATGTCCGGACGAGTGAATGTGAGATATTGGAGAGCTCCAGCTAAGCTCCTGTACTCTTTAGGATCATCAACGGGTTTTCCTTCTTTATCTTCAAGCTTTGATTTCAAATCAACTGGAGTGGCACACGGCTTGCAATCTTTCATCCCTGATCTTTCCAGAATCTCTTGAGCATAATGACTTTGATTTAAAAATAGGCCTTTGTCGTTAAACTTTGCAGAGATGCCCAAAAAAGAACTGATGCAGCCATCATCAGTGATCGGAAATTCCTTCTTTAGTGCTTCAATGACTGAATTTCGGAGTTTAGAGGTTGAGGCAGTGATTACGATGTCATCGACATACAATATTAAGTAAGCACGCATGCCATTGTTAGCGTATATGAACAAGCTTGTGTCGTTCTTGCTCTGCTTGAATCCTTGGCCGGTGATGAAGGAGACAAACCTTGCATTCCAAGCGCGCGGAGCCTGTTTCAGTCCGTAGATGGATCTCTTTAGCCTGCAAACATGATTTGGTTTCGTCTTGTCCACGAACCCTGGAGGCTGAAACATATACACCGTCTCTTCCAAGTTACCGTGAAGGAACGCATTCTGAACATCTAGCTGATTCACTGGCCAGTTATGAACAAGAGCAATGTGTAGCAGAGTCCGTATAGTAGCTGGCTTGACCACAGGGCTGAATGTCTCTGAAAAGTCAACTCCATGTTCCTGTGTTTTTCCATCTGCAACAAGACGAGCCTTTGGCTTCTTATACACACCATTAGCGTCATATTTATGTTTGTAAAGCCAAAGTGAGTTGATTATGTTTGCATCAGGCGGTCTTGGGACAAGTTCATAAGTTTTACTTTTAATAATGGCACTGTACTCATCATTCATGGCAGGATTCCAAAACGGATCAGCAAGAGCTTCACGATGATTTTTTGGTAATGGAGAAATAGTGTTTGTGTTCAGAGAAAGAACAGTTTTTGTTTTGTGAATCCCGTGTTTGGAGCGAGTTGTCATGGCATGCCTGGGTACCTCAGTAGCAGCTTGGCGTACTTGAGTTGGCGCCTGGGATGCGGCTGGTATAACCGGAGAAGTGTGAGCCGGTGGAGTTGTATTTTCGAGAATTTGACGAAACAGAGCAGAGGGCTCTGAATCCTGATCGAGGAAGTCATATGATGTCTTCGCTCGAGGAGTTGTGTTTGAGAATGGAAAGCTAGATTCGTCGAATCGCACATGACGAGATATAATGATCTTGCGAGTATTTAGATCATAGCATCTATATCCTCTCTGTTCTTTAGGGTAACCAAGGAAGATACAACGAGATGATCTGGGAGAAAGTTTGTGGTGGGTAGGATTGTTTTGGTTTGCATAGCAAAGGCAACCGAAAACTTTTAAGTGATCATATTTGGGAGGTGTTTTGAAGAGCATAGTGTGAGGCGAGTGGTTTTGAATAGCTTTGGAGGGGAGAATGTTAAGAAGATATACAGCAGTGTGCAGAGCCTCTACCCAGAAGGAGGTAGGTAGCTTTGCTTGAAACAGAAGGGTTCTCACTGCATTGTTTATCGTCTGAATCATTCTCTCAGAGCGTCCGTTTTGTTGCGATGTATACGGACAGGAGAAGCGGAAGTTAATGCCATGAGCAGCAAAGTGTTTTTGGAATTGATCATTATTGTACTCTCCTCCGTTGTCACATTGGAGAGACATAATGTTTTTAGAGAACTGATTTTTGACAAGAGTCGAGAAATGTAGGAATTTTGAAAACACTTCATCCTTGCGTCTTAAGGGATAGACCCAAAGGTAGTGTGTGAATTGATCGAGAAAGAGGACATAGTATTTGATGCCACTAAGACTTTGAACAGGAGAAGTCCACAAGTTCGAATGAACAATTTGAAAAGGTGCAGTGACAGCAGTATCAGAAGAAGAAAAAGAGAGTTTATTTTGCTTCCCAAGTTGACAAGCATGACAGAGTTTATGCAAGTCATGTTTATTACAATTTAAAGCTGAAGATGAAAACAATGAATTCAACGAGATATTATTAGGATGAGCTAATCTTTGATGCCAAATGCTTGAAGAGGTAGCAAGAAAAGCCGTGGGATCTTGGGAGCTCTTATTTGTGAAAGGGAAAACTGGATAAAGATCTCCAGTGCTGTCACTGCGGAGAATCGTCCTCCGTGTTAGAAGATCCTTCACAGAGAAACCAAAAGGATCAAATTCAATGGAGCAAACATTATCTTTTGTGAATTTACGAACAGAGATAAGGTTTTTTATGATAGATGGGGTGACAAGGACAGTGTTTAACGAAAGAGGTCTTGTTTTGGTTGGAAAAGATACTGAACCCGCTTTTTGGATAGGAATACGATTGCCATTGGCTACCATGACTGATTTTCCAGTACTAAGATTAAAGGTAGACTTAAGAATACCTGCAGTGTTGGCCAAATGAGCTGTTGCGCCTGAGTCCATGTACCACTGTGTGTTTGATGGATCAACAAGTGTCATGGTATTGAAGGCGGAGGCGAAATCAGCAGTAGGTTGAGGTCCCGTGTTCTGGAGATGAAGCTGCTGTGGTGAGTTTGGTCGCGGACCCAGTAGACCTTGCTGTCCAAGCTGCTGTTGTTGCATGTGTTGCCAAGGTTGTTGCTGTTGAGGCCACATTGGATAGCTGTTGGTCCAAAAAGGTACGTTCCACTGCTGGTAATATGGCCGCTGATTTTGGTAGTTGTTGCGAGCTCTGCCTCGATTTGTTCTTCCACGGCCTCTGTTATTGAATCGTTGTTGCTGTTGTGGCTGCTGTGTCGTCTGTGGCGTTGGCTTTTCTTGCGGAGAGGGAGAAGCCAGGAGGACTTTATCCGAAGAGGACGTGTCGTTGTTGGAAGGGACTGGTTTCTTTCCTTTATTGAGGCGTTCTTCTTCGAGTAACAGCATTGACCGGGCCTCTTCAAAGGTGGGGAAAGGTTGGCGATGCATGACAACGTTGATGATGTTGTCATATTTAGCGTTGAGACCGTTCAACGTGTATGTTACCAGCGTTCGATCCGAAACAGGGGCGTCTACATTGGAAAGAAGATCAGCTATGGATTTTAACTCCTGACAGTAAGCTTGAATGGTGAGGTCACCGATCTCTTTGTTGCGTAGGGCATGATCAAGTTGAATGGCACGAGCCTCCTTGTTGTTTCTGAAGAAGTTTTCTATGCGAGCCCAAATCTCTCGAGACGTACCACCAGTTTTGAAAGTACTCTTGAATAGATCTTTGGACAACGTTCCATAGAGCCACAACTTGACAATACCATCACGTTTTGTCCAAGTAACATCATTGTCATTAGTGGGGAGTAGAGATCCGTCCAAATGTCCAGCAACATCGAAGCTTTGACAGTGAGTGAGGAAAAGTTCCCTCCAAGCATCATAGTTGTGATCATCAGTGTCAAGGATGATGGGTATGTGCGACTTAATGTTAGTCACACCATAGAGACGATCAGCAGGAGCAAGATGAGCAGCCATGGAAATGGAAAGAGTTTAAGAAAAAAGAAGAGAAGAAAAGAACGAGAAGAAGAAGAGAAGATTATAATGGTTCAGGAAAGTAACCCTCTGATACCATGTTAGACAAAGTATTTCCCTTGAATGTACGTTGTATTGATCACTTGAATATATACAAAGGTTTGTTACAACAATACTGAGATCTTCCTATATTTACTCTAACATGACCAACAGAATATATGGAATATTCTTTGGTTGCTAATAGAGATGTCCTAATGTAAGAAAACAGTGACTTGCTAACTCATGGGATAATCCTCCAAAGCAGAAATGCTTCTTCCGCTAGAAAAATCCCGTAGACATGAACATGTTTGGTGATACTTTGGTTGTTCAACTTGGCCCTGGACTAAACAGGTTTGAGAAACTAGTAATGCATGAACATATTTTACATCAACTGACAATTTTAGAACACAGCAATGCATGTAGAAAACTAAATTTTTGTTTATACAGTTTACAACAAAAAGCTGTGTTTGGTGATACTTTGGTTGTTCAACTTGGTAAACAGGTTTAAGAAACCAGTAACGTATTTTACATCAACTGACAATTTGTCAATTTCAGATCACAGCAATGAATGTAAAAAATTAAACTTTTGTTTATACAGTTGGCATCAAAGAGCTGTAGTGAATGTACGTTGACGTTAGTTAGCATGAAATTTGATGGTTGTACATAAATTGCAAAAACATATAGATTAAGAAATTTGTTGATGTTTTACCAAAAAAAAAAAATTTGTTGGTGACTAGAACCTAACCTATCATAGGGTCGTAACACATCAGTACATTAGGCATGTCATTCATCCATCTCTTAAATCTTAATGATATTTAAAGACAAAGCGTAAAGTTCTATTTTATATTATTTTCTCTACATTTATAGATGTCCACTACGTACATATTACACGAGTCAGATAGATTTTGAAATTCATATGTATCACCGATTAAGTTTAGTTTTTATCAGGGTATTGCTAGTGATTGGAATAATAAATTGTCTTTTACATGCGGCTTCACAACTTTGAATACAGAAACCAAATTAAGATCAGAGTTTGGTATAGAATTCTCGGTCACGGTTAATCTGAAACACGGACCAAATTATTACTCATCACATCTCTAGTTTCCAATCCAAAATGATAAAAAAAAAAACAAGCAAAAATCTGTAAGAATTAACTTCTGCTCAGAATTATGAATATTTATTCTCATTGATTTTCATCTCTGAAGTCTGACATGTGAATTTTATTCAAAAGATCATCATAACAGAAGTTTTTTAAAAATATATAATGTCGAATTTCAAAACAAAAACAATCAGTAGCTCTCATTAAGTATTAAAAGTAATCCTCTACATACTGTTTTCAGAATAGCGTATACTGCCATAAAGGCAAAGTAATCACAGAGCCAAGACCAAAGCTAATTGAAAACCAATGCATCAAGGTTAAGAGATCAGAGTTTGGTTAAAAAATTTCGGTCACGGTTAAATCAGAAACACGGACCAATTTGTTGCTCATCACATCTCTTATTGCTAATCCAATAACCAAAAAAAACAAAAGAATATCATCGAGAAGAAGATCATCAGAGAATTAAATTACTAAGAATCATATAGATTTTCTCCTTCATATTGTTGCAGTATTTGTTCATCAACTGATCTCCCTACGAATCAAAATCCAACACAAAAACTAACAAAACGAAGAGAAAAAAAAAGAGGATGTACGAGCCATATATGACTGCGTTATCCGAGTCTTCTTTATATATCTTCGTCAACGAGTTATAGGAAGAAGCAAACCCTAATTTGTATTTACATTTTTATCCGCCTCTTAAGCATATTATCAATTAGGCCCGCCCAGGTTAGAATGTCTTAGTATGGGCCTTTTATAAAAGCCCATTATAAATTTTAAGCCCACTGTGCCAACAACAAAAAATAAATATTTGGTCTGCCGCTGAAAACTAGTCAATAAGGAAGGATTTGCCGTCGTTGTTTCTTTCTCTTCTTCATATATTCGAAACTCTCTCTCTCCTCTCTCCTCTCTCAGTCGTAGCAGCTCCTTCGGACAATCTTGTCTCCGTCTTGCTTTCTGTTCTGACTTAAACTCTTTTCTTTTCATCGCAATTCTTCTTCAAAGTTTGGACACAATCTGAGAATTCATGTGAATAGTTCGCAGGTGATCGATTCGAGAGATCTGAGTGATTTCGTTTCATCTCAATAAAAGTAAGTCTCATTATAACTTCATCTAAATTTCAAATTTTGAGAATTTTTTTTTTATTTTTTTACTAATTGATTCTCTCTTTTTTTTTTTTTAATGTTTTGGCAGCAATGAAGCGGATTAGAGATGATGTGTACTCCTCTGGGTCTCAATTCAAACGTCCTTTGTCTTCTTCACGAGGCGAATCGTGAGTGAAAAATCCAATTCGATTGAAAATCAATAATCAGTATTTTTATTTAGGTTTTTAGTTGGTGATCAACTTTATAATTAACATCACATGCATAGAGGGAAGTTAAAATTTTGGTTCAACACTATGTTTTAAGTTATAAGAGAGGTTGTTTTGTTTTGGTTGGTGTAGATATGTGCAATCTCCAGTCCCTGGTGATGGGGGAGTAAACTCTCAGAAGTTGACAACAGATGATGCTTTGTCTTACTTGAAAGATGTTAAAGAGATGTTTCAGGATCAAAGGGATAAATATGATATGTTTCTTGAGGTTATGAAAGACTTCAAGGCACAAAGGTAAGAACTTTATTTTATTTTTTTTTGTAGCTTATGGAAACGTATTTGATATTTGCATTTTACAGGACTGATACATCTGGTGTGATTGCACGAGTCAAGGAGTTGTTTAAAGGGCATAACAATTTGATTTTCGGGTTTAACACGTTTCTGCCTAAGGGATTTGAGATAACTCTTGATGAAGTAGAAGAAGCTCCACCTAAGAAAACTGTTGAGTTTGAAGAAGCTATATCTTTTGTTAATAAAATTAAGGTATGGCAAAATTTTCTAGTATCCAAGTACCTTTTCACCTTAGTATCTCATTGTATCTGTGTTTGTTTATTTTATCTCTCTGCAGAAACGGTTCCAGAACGATGAAGATGTGTATAAGTCTTTCTTGGAGATCTTAAATATGTATCGGAAGGATGATAAGGACATCACTGAGGTTTACAATGAGGTAGTCTCACAGCTGGAGTCACTATATCTCTCCTACACTGTTACAGTTGAAGTTTATCAGTTTTTAATAGCTCTTATATCTGTTTGTTAGGTATCGGCTCTTTTTGAGGACCACCTGGATTTGCTTGAAGAGTTTACGAGGTTTCTGCCAGAGTCGTTGGCGCCTCATTCAGCAGCCCAGTTAATACGTAGTCAGGCCCAACGGTATGATGACCGAAGATCTGGCCCTCCTCTTGTGCGTAGAATGTTAATAGAAAAGGTGTGGTATCGGTATCATTTGTTTCCTGATCTATCACTGTTGTCACGTCTCTGGTCTCTCAGCTGATACATTTTTGATAACCAGGATCGCCGACGAGAAAAACCTGTTGCTTCTCGGAGTGACCGTGATCATAGTGTTGACCGTTCTGACCTTAATGATGATAAAGCAATGGTTAAGATGCACAGAGAGCCCAAGAAACGAGTCGATAAGGAGAATAGAGAAAGGAGAAGCCGTGATTTGGACGATGGAGAAGCAGAGCAAGATAACTTGCACCATTTCTCAGAGAAAAGGAAGTCATCCAGAAGAACGGAGGGCTTTGAAGCTTACTCCGGTCCTGCTTCACATTCGGAGAAAAACAATCTAAAAAGTAAGCAGCTTAACCCCTTTTCTGTTTTCTAGGCTCAACAATTCTAATGCTTAACATCCTACACGTCTCACGCTATCACCATGTCCAATATATAAGTTGATGGGTTGTTTTTTTTTTAGATTGTGTGAATATTTAATGCAAGTTGATTTTGTGGTCAACAGTTATGTTATGGTGCAACCAGTCTATTCTTGTTTTCTGATACTTACGATATAATCTTGTTTTATGCTTTTCTCATTGCGTTATTAGGCATGTACAACCAAGCATTTGTGTTTTGTGAGAAAGTAAAGGAGAGATTATGCAGCCAAGATGATTATCAGACGTTCTTGAAGTGTCTCAATATATTCAGCAATGGAATTATCCTTAGGAAAGAACTGCAGAATTTGGTGGGTCTACAAATAGCTTTGGTGTTGATGGATAGGAGGTAGAATTTTGTCTGACCTCCACTCTCTTTCATTCAGGTTTCCGATCTGCTTGGAAAATTCCCTGATCTCATGGAGGAGTTCAATCAGTTTTTCGAGCGTTGTGAGAGTACTGGTATTTAAGATTTCCTTCTGTCGTTATTTTAGTGAAGGTGTCTAGCTGTTTCTGATCAGCATCCCATTTTGCAGATGGTTTCCAGCACCTCGCTGGCGTTATGAGCAAAAGTATGCAGCATTTTCGTACCTTCTTATATACTTTTTCTCTTGACTTTCTACGTCATTGGAATTACTAACACTGTTGGGTACACTTGCTGCAGAATCACTTAGCAGTGAAGAACATTTATCCAGGTCAGTGAAGGGGGAGGAGAAGGAAAGAGAACACAAACGCGACCTTGATGCTGCTAAGGAAAAGGAGCGTTCCAAGGAAAAGTACATGGGGAAATCTATTCAAGACCTTGATCTATCTGATTGCGAGCGTTGCACTCCTAGCTACCGGCACCTCCCATCGGATGTAAAAATATTTTTAGAGTTCTATATAGCATCCGAGGCAGTTAACTGTACTAACTATTATATTTTATTTGCAGTATCCAATACCTTCGGTGCGCCACAGACAGAAATTAGGGGCTGCTGTTTTAAATGATCACTGGGTTTCTGTCACCTCAGGAAGTGAAGACTACTCTTTTAAGCACATGCGCAGAAACCAATATGAAGAAAGTTTGTTTAGATGTGAAGATGACAGGTACGTTTTAGTGAGATTATATATTGTGTAGTTTTTGTACGTTGTGTTTTACTTGCTTCTTGTTACAGATTTGAGTTGGATATGCTGTTGAAATCTGTGGATTCTGCTGCGAAAAGTGCAGAAGAGTTGTTGAATAATATAATTGAGAAGAAAATAAGTAGCTCCTTCCGGGTTGAAGACCACTTCACAGGTCTGTAGGCGTTTAGTGTTGTAGCACCCTCTGTTTCATCTCTCTTTCCCTATTTTTGAGCTCTCATCTCTTGTCTTACATTTGCTATTTTGTTATTGACTTATTACAGCCCTAAATTTAAGGTGCATAGAGAGACTTTATGGCGACCATGGTCTTGACGTGACAGACCTAATACGTAAGAATCCAACCGCTGCACTTCCTGTAATTCTTACTCGTTTGAAGCAGAAACAAGAAGAATGGACAAAATGCCGTGAAGATTTTAATGTGGTCTGGGCGGATGTGTATGCGAAAAATCATTACAAGTCACTTGATCACCGCAGCTTCTATTTTAAGCAGCAAGATTCTAAGAACTTGAGTGCAAAAGGTAAATAAACTCTTGGAATAAGTATGTAAGCAACCACGATAATTCTTCCTCACATTTTTTGCATACATTCATTTGTCACGTGTCTATTCTTGCATTTACGTATTTTTTTCTCACAAATTTTGTATTTAATACCAGCGCTGGTGACTGAAATCAAGGACCTGAAAGAGAAGTCTCAGGAAGAAGATGATGCTCTTCTGTCTGTAGCTGCTGGTCACAGACAACCCATAAATCCTCACCTCGAGTATGAATATTACGACAGGACTATTCATGAAGATCTATTCAAACTAGTCCAGTTTTCGTGTGAAGAGATATGTTCTACAAAGGAACAGATCGGCAAAGTTCTGAGGCTCTGGAAAAATTTCTTGGAGCTGATCCTTGGTGTTCCACCCAGGGCCAAGGGGTCAAATTCTGTTGAAGATGTTGTAGAAACCAAGCATCACGGTGTACTAACGAGTGGGGAGGTTAATGTGAGTTCTGACTCAACAAATTTGGTTTCGAGGCAACTAAAGTTTACTGCCAATGGAGATGAGTGTGCTTCATCTGGGGTCTCCAAACATAGCGCGACTGGTTTGTTAAAGAGGGATTCTTCAGCGAAAGAAAATTGTAAGGATGGTGATCCTGCTAATAAAGATGTTGCCACCTGTTCTACTGTAAAACCCCAGAAAGATCAAGAAAATAGAAATGGAACCGATAAACAATCTGGAGGTGTTGATGACAGAGTAGCCACATTCCCAAGTGGGGTAGAAAACAATAATGGTAAAGTAGGGAGTGGAGATTTGTCAGGTACTTTCAAGATTGAACTTGGTTTTTTTCCTCAGTATGTGTGCAATATCTACCGTAACATGTCAGTGATTCTTTACTTTTATTTTCAAGGTTCACGTGGCATTTTGTCCAAACCAGGTGACGCCATAGAGAGCACTGATACCATTCAGCATACTCAGGTATAGTACTGAGTTTCACATTTAATTATATGTTCTTACTTGTCTATTTTGCTTTTTATTGACTCTTCCGACTATTCTCATTTTTCATGGTCATATCTCTAGGCGCGTAATATTGGCAGAACTATAGTTATAACAAATGGATTGCTGCCAGATGCTTCTAAAGCCAACAGTAATTATGGTGAACCTGGTGGTCCATCCAATATTGAGAAGGAGGAAGGTGAATTGTCACCTATAGGCGATTCTGAAGACAACTTTGTTGTTTATGAAGATCGTGGTTTGAAGTCTACTGTCAAGGCAGAACATTCTGTTGAAGCTGAAGGAGAAAATGATGATGATGCTGACGATGAAGATGGTGATGATGCTTCAGAAGGTGGTGAGGACGCGTCGGGAACTGAATCTGTTGGCGACGAATGTTCACAAGACGGTAATGGTATGGAGGAAGAGGGTGAGCATGATGAGATTGATGGTAAAGCTGAAAGTGAAGGAGAGGAAATGGATTCGCATCTTATAGAAGAAGACAATCGGTTGCTTCCATTGTCAGAACGTGTTCTGTTATCCGTTAAGCCTCTTTCAAAGCATGTAGCTGCAGCAGCGTTGCTTGATGAGAGACGAAAAGATTCCAGAGTATTCTACGGGAATGACGACTTTTATGTTCTTTTCAGGCTTCATCGAGTGAGTGCAATCGTTTCCTGTGATTTGCTCTCTCAGTTTAAAAGTTTGAAAACCTAGTTTTTACCTTGGGTTTGATATTCCAGATCCTGTACGAGAGAATTTTGTCTGCAAAAACATATTGCACAGGCGGTGAAATGAATCGGAGAAACACTAAAGATACTAGTTCACCAGATCCTTATGCAAGGTACATTCCTTAACCTAATCGACCTAACATTGGTTGATTATTACTTTTATATTAACTATGAAGGTTATTGAACTTATAAGACTCGTTTTGTGTATGCTGTGAAGGTTTATGAGTGCTCTGTTTAGTCTGCTTAATGGCTCAGCTGAAAATTCCAAGTTTGAGGATGAATGTCGCGCTATTATTGGAAACCAATCATATGTTTTATTCACGTTGGAAAAACTTATATACAAACTGGTTAAACAGGTAATTTTCGTCACCTGTTTTCTTGGTTTTTGATTTGATCATTTATACTTTCCAGACATTATATTCATTTCTACTCCATTTCATTCTATTGTAGCTTCAAGCTATTGTAGCGGACGATATGGATAATAAGCTTCTTCGGCTGTATGAGTACGAGAAATCACGGAAACCTGGGAGGGTCATTGACTCAGTGTATTATGAAAACTCGAGGATTCTCCTTCACGAGGAAAATATTTATCGGTTGGAATGTGTAAGAACCTTAAACCAATTCTCATCTCTCTCTCTCCATTGAGGAATAATGATTGGTTCATTAACCCCAAAACTTGTTTTCATGTGTGTTTTAATTCATACGTAGTCGTCCTCTCCACCTCGTTTGTCAATCCAGCTTATGAATAATATAGTCGAAAAGCCAGAGGCTTGTGCAGTTTCCATGGATCCCACGTTTGCAAGTTATCTGCAAAAGGAGTTTCTTTCCAACTCATCAGGGAAAAAAGTAGTGCCACAGGCCATTGTGTTACAAAGGTACATCGAGTTTCAGTACCTTTTACTTGTCCTCTAATCACAGATAAACCTATCTCTTGCTGTATTTTGTGGTACAATTCGATTATTTTCGGAATGATTTAGGACACTATACATGAAGTCTAGTCGTTTTGCTGAATTCTTTTTGGTGCAGGAACATGCGTGGATACTCTGGTCTGGATGATCTTGCAATAGCCTGCAAGGCAATGGAAGGTGTAGAAGTAATTAATGGCCTTGAGTGCAAGATGTCTTGCTCTTCCTACAAGGTAACCAGTTTCTCTAGTCTTAAACCAAACCAAACCAAACCGGTATCGCACTTACATGTTTTGAAAATTTAGAACCAGAACCAATCTACACATAAATAAGTCCTGATTGCTTCATCTCTTGTTGTAGATATCGTATGTTTTGGACACGGAGGATTTCTTCCACAGGAAGAGGAAGAAGCAGAAGAAGAGCGAGAACTCGTCACATGACAGATCATTATCGCAGCAACGCAAGTTGTACAGAATAGAAAGATTCCACAAGTTTCTCTCGGCTCCAAGATAACAGACAACAACAACAACAACAAGAACATCAAAAGCCGATCTTTTATTTACTTCAACACACAAGGAAGGTTACAGGCAGACCAAGTTCTCTCTCTGCAGACCTTCCCAGGAATAAAAAGAAGTTACAATACTTTCTCGTTAGTATTCTGTGAAGAAGTTCCTTGCACAGTAGTGTGTATTTATCTAATTTGTATCTTGATTTAGGTAATGTGTGGATGTAAATATTGGAGAACACATACATGTGGTTATCCTCTTGGTTTGTATTTACAAACATAGAAATGTTCCAAAGAGAGATTCTCTCTTTTTATATAAATAATAATGATTTTTCAATATTCTAGTTAATTTTCTTTTCGTACAGAATCATTCCCCAAGAACACCTATTTATATAACTCTTCTCAAAATCAACCTGTTTTGATCATAACTAGGCATGGGCATTCGGGTTTCGGTTTTGTCCAATCGGGTCTCGGTTCTTCGGGTTTAACAAAATCAGCCCCATTCAGATTATTTGAAAGTTCGGTTCGGGATCGGTTCGGGTTCTATCGGGTTCGGGTCGGGGTTAGTAAATCTTTAAAGAACCGGTACAACCCGTTATACTTTCGGATTCGGGTCCCAATCGGTTCTTTGGTTTAAAAATACTTGATTTGTACCTATTTTGTAACCAAAAGATAAGTAAGATCGGTTCTTCGGATTTAAAATATCTAATGTGTAACTATTTTGTAACCAAAACATAAGTAAAATTGATTTAAAAATAAGAAAGAAACATCAAACTTGATCATTCAAAATCAACTAAAAGGTAAACATAGTTATTAATAGAAAGAAAACTAAATAAATGAAAGCGTAAACAAAAATCAAATTCTTAAAAAAATGAGAAGCATTATTCAATAATAACAAAAAAATATTCTAAAAAATTCAAGTTTCAACCGCCACCTTCAACCATCAAGATTCATGTAATAGATAATTATTTTATATGTTTAGTAATATTTTAAAATATTATGGATAGATATTAGGAATTAAGATCATGTTCAGTACATGTTCTTATTAAAAATTTTGAATATTTCGGGTTCTTTCGGATATCCATTTAATTTCGGATTCGGTTCGGATAATACTCACAACCCGAAATACCATAAAACAAGATCCATTCGGTATTTAAATCGGGTTCGGATCGGTTTGGATTCATTTTTATCGGATCGGGTTCGGTTTATTTGCCCAGCCCTAATCATAACTTAACCAGAACTAGCTAATCCGTCTGTGTATGAGACGTGGGAGGGAGGAGAAAGATGAAAGATGAAGCTGACGTTTTATTCATATATGGGCTTCTTCTTCCTTACCAACTTTGTTGGGCCATTAAATATATTCAGCCCATTTAGTTATTTGGATATCACTATATTTGTTGTGAACTTGGATATCAAAAATTTTGGCGGGGACTTTTCAAATTATACAAACCATCGCGACATAACCGGTTCATGATTAAATTATACCGTGGACCGAAATTAACCGGAATCTAGCTCTTGTGTATAAAGACAATACCACCACTGACGACCACTCAAATTGACAGAAATCCCCCCCCCCCCAAACAAAAAGTCCACCGTGGATCATTCAGTTATATAAAAAAAACTCAGAGCCGAAACAAAATCAGCCGGGAAAAAACGACGTAGTTTTCATTAACTAGAGTACGAAAACACTTCGGAACTTCCAAGGAGGAGGAAACATGCCCCGCCGTAGTCCCCCCGGCAGTTACGGCGGAAGCCAATCCCTTCTCCCAACAACCTCATCCAAATCCAAACTCCCAACCAATCGAAAACCACGAAAACGAACAAAAGCTCTCCTCATCAACTTCCTCCTCATCGCTCTCCTCCTCTCCCTCCTCTTCCTCCTCCTCACGCTCCTCCACTTCGGCGTACCATCACCGATCTCCTCCTCCTCTTCCTCCTCCTCCTCCTCCTCCAGATCCACTCCCATCGTAAAGCCGCGGAAGAGTATTATCATCAATCGGAGGAGGCATATTGTGAACGTCTCAGCTTCCTCCGCCGTGGTGGACATCACTACGAAGGATCTGTACGATAAGATCGAGTTCAGGGACGTGGACGGAGGTCCGTGGAAGCAAGGGTGGAACGTGACGTATAGAGGAGACGAGTGGGAGAAGGAGAAGCTGAAGATCTTCGTGGTGCCTCACTCTCATAACGATCCTGGGTGGAAGCTTACGGTTGAAGAGTATTATCAGTTACAGTCGAGGCAGATTCTCGACACCATCGTCGAGACTTTATCTAAAGTGACGTCATTAAACTTTTGAAAAGCGTGAATTGCATTTGAAATTTTTATTTATTTTATTTTTATGTGTTTAGTTTTTTTTTTGGGTGTAGGATAGTAGAAGGAAGTTTATATGGGAGGAGATGTCGTATTTGGAGAGATGGTGGAGAGATGCTTCGCCTAGTAAGCAGGAGGGTTTGAGTAGTTTGATTAAGAATGGGCAGTTAGAGATTGTTGGTGGTGGCTGGGTGATGAATGATGAGGTGTGTTTGCTTTGATAAAAAGATGAAAAATGAAAATGTGTTGAGATGAGCTAATAAGTGTCTTTTTTGATGGTGTGTGCAGGCTAATTCACATTATTTTGCTATAATTGAACAGGTATATTCTGCACTTCTTGATTTTCTAATTCTATGCACTTGCTAGTTTTTTGGAATTTTGACTTTTACTGAAACAAAGATGAGGATGATGATGATGACAGTGGTTACTGAATTTCTCAATTTATGTTTCCTATTCTGTTTTTGTTCATTTTATGTTTCTTGCTAGCCATTTCGTTTGTATTTATCATGTCACATCTGGTTGGTTATAGTTCGACGTTACCTAATGCCTCGTTGGTACTGAATACCCTCTTTTTGAGTTGATGACAGTGGTTACTACGTTTCTCATTTTGATGCTAACTATTATGTTCTTACTCATTTTTATGTTTCTGCTAGCCATTTCGTTTGTATTTGTCACATATGGTTGGTTATTGTTAGTCATTAGCTAGTACCTCTTTTGAGCTGAAAACTCTCTTGTTTTCGTTGTGTAAATAAGAGCTTAATTGGGTAAAGTAGAGGTAATGTAGTTTTACCAGCCGCTTGACGCATCATGTTTTGTATTATGTGTTTTTCCCCCTTTTTGGGTAGAACATCTTCCAAGAGTTAGTATTCCAGTTTTTCTTTTTGTGTGTAAACTATATTTTCTTATCAACTGGCTCTGCACTTGTATCTGATTTTGTACTTGATGGCTTCTTCTACAGATCGCAGAGGGTAATATGTGGCTAAATGACACAATTGGGGTTATTCCTAAGAATTCATGGGCCATAGATCCCTTTGGCTATTCCTCAACCATGGCTTATCTCCTCCGGCGTATGGGTTTCGAAAACATGCTTATTCAGAGGACTCATTACGAGCTCAAGAAAGAGCTTGCCCTGCATAAGAATCTGGAATATATTTGGCGTCAGAGTTGGGATATTACGGAGACAACAGATATATTTGTTCATATGATGCCTTTTTATTCTTACGATATCCCACACACTTGTGGTCCAGAGCCGGCAATTTGCTGTCAGTTTGATTTTGCGCGGATGAGGGCCAGGGGGTTTAAGTATGAACTTTGTCCATGGGGAGAGCACCCTGTGGAGACCACACAAGAAAATGTGCAGGAGAGGGCATCAAAGCTTCTTGATCAATACAGGAAAAAGTCTACTCTCTATCGAACCAATACCCTTCTCATACCTCTTGGAGATGATTTTCGGTTCATCAATATGGATGAAGCCGAGGCTCAGTTTCGTAACTACCAGATTTTGTTTGATCACATCAACTCTAATCCTAGTCTAAACGCAGAGGCAAAGTTTGGCACTCTGGATGATTATTTCACAGCACTTCGAGAAGAAGCCGAAAGAGTAAATTATTCTCTTCCTGGTGAAGTTGGCTCTGGTCAGGTTGTTGGTTTCCCTTCTTTGTCAGGTGACTTCTTTACATATGCAGATAGGCAACAAGACTATTGGAGTGGCTATTATGTTTCAAGGCCTTTCTTCAAAGCTGTTGATCGTGTCCTCGAGCATACCCTCCGTGGAGCTGAGATCATGATGTCGTTTCTCCTAGGTTATTGCCATCGAGTTCAGTGTGAGAAATTTCCGACAAGTTTTGCGCATAAGTTAACTGCTGCAAGAAGGAATCTAGCTCTTTTCCAGCACCATGATGGTGTAACCGGAACTGCTAAGGATCATGTGGTACAAGATTATGGCTCCCGGATGCATACTTCATTGCAAGACCTTCAGATCTTTATGTCTAAAGCCATCGAAGTCCTCCTTGGGATCCGCAAGGAGAAAGAAAAATCTGATCAGTCTCCATCACTCTTCGAGGCAGAGCAAGTGAGATCCAAGTATGACGCTCAGCCGGTTCACAAGCCAATTGCTGCGCGTGAAGGACATTTACACACAGTTATACTATTCAATCCATCAGAACAGACGAGAGAGGAGGTAGTGAACGTAGTTGTCAACCGTGCTGCAATCTCAGTTCTGGATTCAAACTGGACTTGTGTCCTTAGCCAGATTTCTCCTGAAGTGCAGCATGACAAAACCAAACTGTTCACCGGCAGACATCGCCTTTACTGGAAAGCTTCAATTCCAGCTCTTGGTCTGAGAACGTATTACATTGCTAACGGGAATGTGGAATGCGAGAAAGCTACACAGTCTAAACTCAAATACGCTTCAGAGTTCGACCCGTTTCCTTGTCCCTCTCCATATTCCTGCTCAAAAATTGACAGCGATGTGACTGAGATCCGAAACGAACATCAGACTCTTGTGTTTGACGTTAACAACGGCTTACTCCAGAAGATAGTCCATAGCAATGAGAAAGAAACTGTTGTGAGCGAAGAGATTGGTATGTACACTAGTCCAGATAGTGGAGCTTACTTGTTCAAACCAAAAGGTGGAGCTCAACCGATTGTTCAATCCGGTGGACATCTAGTAATCTCAGAGGGATTACTTGTGCAAGAAGTCTTCTCGTACCCTAAAACGAGATGGGAGAAGTCCCCCATCTCGCACAGCACCCGAGTATACACTGGAGGTAACACGCTTCAGGATCAGGTGATTGAGATGGAGTATCATGTTGAGCTTCTCGGAGAAGACTTCAATGACCAGGAACTAATTGTCCGTTACAAGACTGGTATCGACAACAAAAAGATTTTCTACTCTGATCTCAACGGTTTCCAAATGAGCAGGAGGGAAACTTATGATAAGATACCTCTCCAAGGAAACTACTACCCAATGCCATCTCTCGCATTCATACAAGGATCCACCGGTCAGAGATTCTCTGTACACTCTCGCCAATCTCTTGGCGTTGCAAGTCTTGAAGATGGTTGGTTGGAGATTATGCTGGACAGACGGTTGGTCCGTGATGATGGACGTGGTCTCGGGCAAGGCGTGATGGATAACAGAGCAATGACAGTTGTTTTTCACCTTCTTGTGGACTTCAACATTTCTCAGGTGGACTCTGTTTCTAACCCTTCCCTTCTCTCGCACTTAGTAGGTGCCCACTTGAACTATCCCATAAACACATTCATTGCCAAGAAACCACAAGACATATCCGTGCGTGTTCCGCAATACGGTTCATTTGCTCCTTTAGCCAAACCATTACCGTGTGACCTCCACATTGTCAATTTCAAGGTTCCACGTCCATCAAAATACTCTCAGCCATTGGAAGAGGACAAACCAAGGTTCGCTCTTATTTTTAACCGACGAGGTTATGACAAAGCTTATTGCCATAAAGGAAGAAGACCGAATTGCACAAGCGTGGCTAATGAACCAGTGAATTTCTCCGACATGTTCAAAGATCTTGCAGTTACAAAGGTAAAACCAACTTCATTGAATCTTTTGCAAGAAGACATGGAGATTCTCGGATACGACGATCAAGAACCACCTCAAAAAGGACAAGTATTGATCTCTCCCATGGAAATAAGAGCTTACAAGCTTGAGCTACGACCTCTCAAGTAAAAAGTTATCACAATCAAGACTGATTGTTTGATTCTTTGGCTGCTACAGCCTCACAAGATCGTTGACTAAGAGGTTGAGCTCAGAATCAGCTCCTTGCTTAAAAGCTGTTCGGGAAACATTAACTATCAGAAGAGAGGGTAGAAGCTGGAGAGCCTTTGTGTGTCCATGTAAAACTAGTGTAAGACCTTAGTTACATATTTTTCCTTATTTTCTTGGAAATAAATAAGTTTGAATACAATCAATCATCAAACTCAACATGCAATGTAACTGATTATTTTTACAGACCATAACACACTCAGTACACCATTCTTAATCAGCTGGCTTGACCATAAGTCTTGTACTCCCCACTGATCATAAACTCGGTGAAGTTGGAAGGTGAGCCTTTGATCTTTTTGTACTCGGAAGGTGAGCCTTTGATCTTCATGTACTCTCTCCACCACTTCATGAAACTGCTTTTCTCCAAGAAAATCTCCGGCGAAACCTCACCCTTTTTGATCGTCTCCCACACGTCTTCTTCAAACTTGATGAGTTTCTCCAAAACCACCTCTCTACTCACCACCACTTGTGAATTGGTTAGAAGCAAAGCTTCCTCAACATCAGCCCAGAAACAAGAATCAAACGTCAAAAGATAAGTGAGGTCTCTCTTTTCCAACTTAGCCGGATCTATCTGTTTCTCCTTAAACAATTTCTCGAGCATAACAAAGTGGCGAGACCTTCTAGTTCGATACTCTCTCTTACCATCCCGGTAATACTCGGCAATGACGAGTGGCTCGACCATCCGTCTGTAGTTGTTTGCGGAGTAGAGAGACCGGGTCTTGAGAAGTGAGTCTTCGCCCTGAGGCATCTTCTCCACTTCTTCAACCACTGATGCCCAGTACTGATTTAGCTCTGTTATGCGCTCCTTAGTCTTCTCTTTGACTTCTCCTGAAATAGGTGTCTTATACCAATCGTAGAAACCCATATTGGCCCTCTTGCATCCCTTTATGTACCACTCTAAATACATCATTTCTATCTTCATGTGGTTTAGCTTCTTAAGCGGATCAAAACGCCGCTTCTTGTTCTCAGCACGTTCAACCATACGGCTGAAAACACCATCATCATTAACACCGCTTAGCAACTCCATGACAGTCTCAGGATCATCGATGCAAATGCATTGGTCGCCAACATATATCAAGAACGTTCCAAAAGGCTTGAAACCTGCCTGAATGGGAGTTTGTGCAGCGTCAGCCACGTGAAGGAAACATGAGTTCCTCAAGGAGTTCTCAAGAATCTGTTGCAGAGATGCGTCTCCAAGTAAAGGAGAGCCAAACGTGATGCACAAGGGACGTTTTAGTTTTGGATCGACTGTGTCTAGAAGCCATAGCGTAAAGAGAGATGCAACCGATCCTCCTAACGCAGCTCCAGTTATGATCACTTGTTTCTTAGACTCGAGCAACTTAGTCAACTGCAAAACAACAACTATGACTTTGTTATAACATAGCCTTACTTTCAAGAATTTGAATTAGTCTTTTACTTTGGAAACTATTTCATATAGAGCTATTGACTTGTTAACAAATAGTCAAAGAGAGTAGAATTGGATTGAAAATTGAAAATTGAAAATTTTACGTCTGATTTGAGGTGAGTGAGATCTTCCTTGGCAGAGACAAAGAGATTGTACGCAGGTGTGTGAAGGGAGAATGAGGAGATCTTCTCAGAACATAGAAAATAAAACGGATTCTGAGCTTGTGGCCCAGATAGAGGAGTGGGAGGACCAGAATCTAAAGGACAACTCGGTGCCACGAAAACCACAATTGTATATATGCCTTCATGGTAAGTCTTGAATTCTAGACCTGAAACTTCATTTCCATGGATTGTGATTTTACTCCATGCCTTGTCCGTGAGACCGGCCTTCAACACAAACTTCCCTTGCTCCACAAATTTTCTCCTAAAAAAAAAACAATGAATCTAGTCAAATGTCCAAAGAACAAGATTTTCAAGAATGTATATAAAAATTGTTGAGAGCAGGTTTGGATAAACAATTGTGTATTAGATTATTTAATCTCTAACTTTATTAAAAAAATATACATCGATTATATAATCTTCTAATCTGTAATTGCTTAAAGTTCTATAAATTTCAGGATCAGCCTTGAGTTAAGTGACTGGGGAAAAAAAAAAGTAGTTATAATACTTACCCTGTAGAAGTATCCATGGATGTGAGCTGGAGATGTTTGGTAGAGAAGAAAGATATTAAAAAGAGAGTGTTTAAATTATTGGAAGCGATGTTGAAAATTAGAGCTATTCAGAGTACAGTATATAGTAGAACCAAATAACACAGCTATTTTATTTTCGCGAAAAGAAATGAAAATAAAGAAGAAGAAAAAATTCCTCTTTCTATCTTTTCCACGAAGGGTCCGCAAAAGCATAGATTCTTTCCACACACGCTTTCGAGACGACATATATTTAGTTGACGTTCACACAAGGGCAATAATACAATAAACACAATTGCATTTCAATACAGTTTCATGATGATAATGTGGTTGATGATTTGTTTAGTAACACTGGTCTCATCAATAAGTGAGATTAGTTTTGAGCATGTATCTCTGTTTCCTAAGGATACGTTGGCTCAGTTGGTTTTAATGTTTTATAGTATGTCTCTCGTTACTATGCTTCCTTAATTCGAATCTTTCTGGCATCATGCCTCTCTGATCTTTACGACCTTGCCGTCTGAAGTTTTAAACATATGGGCCCTAATAAAGCCCAACGCTCATATGTTCTGATAGTATCAATAATATTCTGCATAAGCAATTACGCACGACATATCCTCCATTTTTCTTGTCAAAGTAAATGACATGGTTTCATATTTAGTTGATGACGTTGACACAAGTGTATACAATAAACACATTTGCATTTCAATACTGGTAGATGATGACAATGTCAAATACTTTTTTTTTGTTTAAACAATGTCAATACTTGTTGAAGATTTGTATATTGTTGTTATCTCATGCACACAATTAATATTCCACACGTATAATAATACAATAAACACATTTGCATTTCATTACAGTATCATGGTGGTGACAATGTCAATACTGATTTAACGATTTGTTTAGTATTGTTATCTCATGCACACAGTTAATACACATCATAAGTAGTGCCACCAGTTGGCTTTTAAAGTTCTGAACCATTTAATCATTTGATAAGCCATGTTTCTTTATCTAAGACCCAAATAAAGCCCAGCACTCGTATGTTCCAATAGTATCAATAATATTCTGCATAGCAGCTACGCATCTCATGTCCTCCACTTGTTTTGGTCAGATTAAATGATATCTAGTTTCATATTACTAAACCAAATAAAGGACAACAAAAAAAAAATAAAGGACAACAATAACACGCATTGCAAACTTATATGAAAACGCCATTTTTCCTCTAACATCAACATTGAGTATAGTGATATTCTTCCACATCGTTTTATAAAAAGGTTTTAAGGACACTTGGGTCTGCCTCCACGTGTCTTCATGTTGACGTAACAAGATCCACACTTTTCCATATTGACCATAATAACTTTTGGTTCTTCTTGATCTGAAATATATGTTGGTCCGAACACTGGTACATCCTATTGTTCATAACCTTGGATGAAGTCATAACACCAATCTTGAATCCACCACCACAGGTTGAACCAGACGACCAAGAACCTCACCGTAGTCTCTCCAGACTAGTGCATCCGCGTTATCACTGCCTAGCAACTCCATGACAGTCTTAGGGTCATCGATGCAAATGCATTGGGAGCCAACACAAATAAAGAACGTTCCAAAAGGCTGGAAATCTGTGTTCACGGGAGTTTGGGCAGCGTCGGCCACGTGAAGGAAACACGAGTTCCACAAGGAGTTGTCAAGAATCTGTTGCAAGGAAGCGTCTCCAAGCAACGGAGAGCCAAAAGTTATGCAAAAGGGACGTTTGAAACTAGGCTCGATTGTCCCTAGAAGCCATAGCGTAAAGAGAGATGCGACCGATCCCCCTAACGCAGCTCCGGTTATGATCACATGTTTCTCGGACTCGAGCAAACCGAGCAGCTAGAAAACACCAACGCAGACTTATTAAAAGTTTATTGACTTGGAAAGGGCAATTCTCTCAAATAGTCCTTTTTAAATTTTTATTACAAAAATAAATTTCAAATTAAAATGCCCAAAATAACACTTTTTATTTTGGAAATTTTAAGTTTTTTAATTTTTTAAAATTTAAAATACTATTCCCAAAATTCTATTCCTCAACTCTAAACAAAAAAATCTAGTATTAGTTAACTCAAGGGATATAAATATATATTTTAATAAAACATTTAAATGTTATTTTGGTCATTTTAATTGTTAAGTTCTATATTTGTGACAAAAACTTTTTTAGTTTTATCATAGTCATTTTCTCTTAAACAAACTAGATTACTTTCAAGAATGTGAAATTGTTACTTGTAAAAAAATTACTCAAAGGTGGAATTGAAAATCACCTCTGCTCTAAGTTCAGTGAGCTTGTACTTGTTGGCAGAGACAAAGAGATTGTAAGCAGGTGTGTGAAGGCAGAATGAGGAGTTCTTTTCAGAACATAGAAAGGGAAAGGGATAGTGATCTGTTCGCCCAAAAAGAAGAGTGGAAGCAGCAGAATCTAAAGGAGGGAAACTCGGTGCCACGAAAACAACAATTGTGTATATGCCTTCTTGGTAAGTCTTGAATTCTAGACCTGAAACTTGATTTCCATGGGTTTGGATCTTACTCCATGAGGTTTGTAAGAGACCAGAGCTAAACACAAGTTTCCCGAGCTCCAAGCATTTTCTATTAAGAAAAAAAAAAACTAATGAATTTAGTCAAATGTCCAAAGAACAAGATTTTGATAAATATATAAGAAATGTTGACCCCACGTAGAGGTGGGACGGATCGGATATCCGAGGTATTTTAGGATGTTCGGATCCGGATCCGGATTCGGCGGATCCGTAAAATTACTATCCGGATCCGGCCCATCCGGATATCCGGACTAAAACTCGGATACCAGCGGATATCCGGATCTGGTTTATTTAAAAAATAATAATTAAAAAAAATCAAAATATAGTATTTATTTATTCTATTAAAAAATATTATTTTACAAAAATTTAAATTGAAATAATAGAATTTACTAACAAAATTAACTATTAATTATATTTAATAAAAATATATAATATACCTATATATATAATTCTATTTTAAATATTTTTAAATATTTAGTGGATCCGGATCCGGATATCCGAACTGAAAATTTCACAATCCGGATTCGGATCCGGATTCGCCGGATCCGTGAAATCACTATCCGGATCCGGATCCAGACCTCCCGGATATTCTTTTTTCGGAACGGATCCCGGATCAGATAACGGATATAAGTTCCAGCGCTCCCCACGTATGAATAAACAATTATGTATAGATTATTTAATCTCTGTATTAATATATATATATATCGATTGTGTTATCTTCTTATCTCTAATTTTTTTTTAAGTTCTATTGATTTGAGAATCAGCCATGAGTTGAGCAACTGAGTAACAAAAAAAATTAAACAGAAAGAAAGAAAAGAGTCATTTGTAATACGTACCGTGAATAAGGAGAATCCATGGCTTGAACTGGAGATGCTCTGTAGAGAAGAAAGTGATAAGAGGGCCAGGGTTTAAAAAAAGTCCACATAATTAACTAATTTTAACACTTGCTCTATTTTAATTATTTACACTGAAATAGTGTTTAATTTTATGAATTCTGAGAATTCTAATCATCAAATTCATTTTTTAGTCTAATATTTAAAATCTAAAATCATAATTTATGTCAAAAATCTCATAAGTAACTAGAAATGTATCCATTTACATAAGGATTTAAATTAAATGCATTAAAATATTTCCTTATTTATTATCTCTTTTTTGATATTTCTCATAATTAGTAGATCAAACGTAACTAGGTTTATCTTAATTAGAAACACTTAAAAAAATTTATAAAATGTTTTCAAGACAAAAAAAAAAAGCAAAGAAAGAAACGATTCCCCATTATTGGAGATGTGTTGGATCAAACCCTGTACGCGAGACGGCGTCAGCCTTGAGTTGAGCAACTGAGTAGTAAAATTTAAAAAGAAAGAAAAGAGTTAACTATAATACTTACTGCGAAGACGAATCGATGGCTTGAGCTGGAGATATTCTGTAGAAAAGAATGTGATAAAGAGAGGGTTTTATTTATTGAAAGTAGGACAAATGTTGAAGATAAGAAAAATCATTCTTCAGATATAAGTAGCTAATTATTTCGCGTAAATTTATAAAAATGAAAACTAATAATTCCTATTTCTCTCCTTCCGCGAAGATCGCAAAAAGAAAAAGCCTCGCTCAGCACACGCTTTCTACAGTTCCACGAAATCAAGAGGTCAGAAATAAAACTGGTTTGCAGATTATTGGCTTTTGGCTCCCACAAGTGCTATTAGCTTTTTGATGTATATTGTCATCCAAGCATTTCAAGAGTAGTACTGATGCTGATAAATGTGACGAAAATTGTTAATAAAATATATATAGCTCTTATCCAAATTTAAATTTCTCGATCAAACTGATCTACCATGATTTATAAAAATATAATTAATGGGATCTTTTAGATGTGAGATTCTTAGTCTAATATAAGATAAGTCTCTTATCTTTTAATTTTTAAAAATTAATAAATGTTTTCTAAATAAAAGATATAAAATGTCTTCTAGTCATTTTTTTAAGATTCATAAAAAGACTTAGTCCTCTGTTTCAATATTATAAATGATGGTTTAGGAATTTTTTTTGTCTCACAATATAAAATATTTTAACATATATAAGCAATTTTAAAATTATTAAACATGTATAATCAATTGCATTTTACTGTTTAGTTATAATCAAATAAATTAATTTAAAATTATATTTTAGTGATATTTTAAAGAAAAAAGTAGATTTATTTATGTGCATGTAATATCAACAGAGGGAAACGTAGCCTTGTTTTCAAGAATTTCAATTACTCTTATTTTGGAAACTTTTCATATTAAGTTTTTGTCTATTTTGGTATGATATTTCATATTAAGTTGTTGACTTGTAAACAAATACTCAAGAGAGTATAGTGGAATTGAATACTACCTCTGATTTGAGCTGAATGAGATCATTCTTGTAGGCAGAAACCATGTTCGTTATGCGAACGCCCAAAACCAGCGGCAGCGGCCACAATTCACGGCAAAACACAGCAAAGTTCAAGACTGATAAAATAAAGCTAGCCTGTTTTTCTTAATGCAGCGGTTGATTGTGAGGAATAGAAAGACGCTGAATATTCGATGCAGTGTAATTTCTTTGTCGTTGCCGCCGGTTTCCGCGTTCACATAACGAACATGGCTAGAGTTGATACGTACTACGTAGGTGCGTGAATAGAGAAGGAGGAGATCTTCTCAGAACATAGAAAATGAAAGGGATTCTGATCTTGTGGCCCGGAAAGAAGAGTGGAAGTAGAGTTCGATGGGATATTTTTGCGGATAGATGGCGCGACAAAAACCGCAATTGTGTATATAGATTCTTGGTAAATCTTGAATTGCAGACCTGAATCTTGATTTTGATGGGTTGATTCATATACCTCAGAGATCCTAGTCCATGACTTGTGTAAGAGACCGGAGTTCAACACAAGCTCCCCAAGCTCCAAACATTTTCTACAAAAAAAAAAAATCCTTGAAATTTAGTCAAATGTCCAAAGAACAAGATTTTTTAATATCAGGTCTCATACAAAATCATTTAATAAGCCTTGTACATTTACTAACATAACCTTGAATTTAGTCAAATGTCCAATGAGCATAGAATTTCAACAAAAAAAACTATTAAAACAATATTGAACGAGTAGCAAAAAAAAAAAAAAGAGAAAAGGAGTGATTGTAATACTTACAGAGTTACAGTTAAGAAGAATCCATGACTTGAGCTAGAAATGTTCTGTAGAGAAGAAAGTTACAAAGAGAGTGTATTATCGAAAGTAGACTAATGATTAACAATAAGATAGAAGCAGATATATAGGGTTTAATTATTCCTCTCTCTCTCTTTTCTGCGAAAAATAACAAAGAAGTCAAGATTCGTTCATCACACGCATACGAGGGGCGATGTCTTCACTCTTCTCGTTGACGTTGAAACAAGTGTATATACTATAACCACATGTACATTCTAATACAATAGCATATGACAGTTTCAATACTGGTTGACGATTTGATTATGCCCTCATAAAACATGCCAACAGTTTTTCTCTCACAGATTTTAGAAGTATTGGACCATTTAATCATTTGATAAGGCATGTATCTTTCATTTGATAATTATATCTTCCGATAGTATCAATAATATTCTGAATAAGCAAACTACGCATGACATTTCCTCTATTTTTTTTGTCAAAGTAAATGAATAAAGTTTCATATTACTAAAACAAACAAAGGAAAAAAACAAAACGCATTGCTAACTAGTATGAAGTTTCTCTAACATCATCATTTGATTTAGTGGATATCATTTCACATTAACCATCGTTTATTCAAAAGTTTAAGGACACTTGGGTCTGCCGCCACGTGTCTTCATGTTGGCGTAACAAGATCCACACTTCTCCTTATTACCGTACGTGCCAGGAGGAACGCACTTGCAGCGGTAGCAGCACGTGACGCACGCTCTCATACATACGTTCTTCCTCGAGTGTTGGCCACATCGTGTCCCACATAAAGACACGCAATCTATACCGTCCAAAAAAGTAGTCACCAGTGTTACATTAGTTTAATCAACGATCAATAATCATTACAATATTATAAAGAAAATATTATTAGCTGAATTTACCTATCCGAGGTGGTGTCGGAGGTTTGGCCGGTGGCTTAACCGGAGGTGATGGAATTGGGTTGACAGGTGGTTTAGATGGTGGCGGTGTGGTAACCGGTGGTGCCTTATATGGAGGTATTGGGGTTGGTTTAACCGGCGATGTAGGTGGTTTGACTGGCTTAACCGGTGGCGTTGGGGATTTGTAAGGTGGTTGAACCGGAGGTGGTTTGACCGGTGTTGTTGTAGGTGGTTTAGCAGTTGGAGGTTTGTACGTAGGGGGTTTAGCCGGTGGTGATGTGGGTGGTTTAACCGAAGGAGTTGGGTATGGTTTAACCGGAGTGGTTGGAGGTTTGACTGGTGGTGTAATGGTGGGTGGTTTAATCGGGGTAGTAGGCAGTGAGGGTGGCTTGTATGGCGGAGACGGTGGTTTGATTGCCGGGGACGTCGGTGACGGTAAAGAACCCTGTGAAGAGCAGTGGAATACCACGTAACATTTTTAGAAAATTAGTTTTACCTTTATTACGTAATAAATAATGTTTTTTTTTGTAACTTAAGAAATAGTATTTTAGCCTAAACAATACTTAAAATATACACATTTAAATAGTTAGAGCGAAAATTATAAATTTAGAAACATACTAATGCCTTGGATTCCTCATTTGAAGCAGCAAAAACAACCTGCTCGGTGATTAATCACAATATATAGTTAGTTGAAATGTACAAATATATATACTAGTTTCTAATCTTTCACACTAAATATAATTGAAAACATTATTTTCTAAAAAAATAATAATAAAAACTTACATTAGTAAAGACTTGAAGAAAGATGAAGACTGAAAGAAGCGAGAGAGACATTTTGTGAGAGATAAGGAAGTGGTGAAGTCTCATGTCTCATGTTGAAGACCAATGGCCTTTTGTGCTATATATAGAAGTTATTTTATTAAAATAAATATTAATTCATGTTATTATCCATAAAATACAAACAAGTAATTATAATGCATAGTAAGTGTTAGGTCCAGAGTAGTTATTATATGCTTGCCAGCTTTGAACTTTCACTGCATAATTTCTCAGAGCCCGAGGAACATATCAGATTCCCAAAATGGGCTGTATAGATAATACTACATGAAAAGGATAATACACTGAACTCTCCATTTTATTACACCAACTTGGAATACTTTTATCAATACAAATAATTTATTTTAACTCTTTGAACTATGCTGAAAATATTGGGATATGTTTGCATACCCCAAGAAACCAGTGTATGGCAATTTGACATTAATAAACTTGCATTTAGGACATACAGTAAATAGAATTCAATTTGCCCATAAAGCTGTGTCGCTTATATTATTGCACCAGTGAAAAAAACGTTTGTCGTTTATCTAGCTTTCCTAACATGCAGTAAAGTGAAATGAAATATCTTCGTTATAGTATGCTTTTACCCTGTTCTTATAAAAATCTGAAGTGTTATCAAATCATAGATGGACAAGAGCACATGGGTTTTAAATTATTTCGATGATTTTTTTTTTCCTTTTAAAATATCGGGAACAGGATCAAGAGTTAATTAAAATGAGGTCGGCGACGAGTAAAGATTTTATCATTATTGGTCTCGTGTGTGATTAAAGAAAAAAAAAGGTTTCACGAATGAATGTTTTCTTCTTCTTAGTTATACATTTTCATCTGATAAAATAGATTACACGACATCATAACTATAAAATGCAAGTACAAAGAATAGAAGAAGATAAAGAAATGTATCATTTAGAGATGCAAGTACAACAATGTCTGAGCTGTGATTCACTATATATTTTACTATGTACACACACTGACACACAACCACATGGATTGTTCAAAAGCATGGAACCCAAAAGTCTAGAAAATTCTCAACCTCCATGCTTTGTGGGAACCCATTATGACCTAAGGAATTATTATTTTTCTTGTTTTTAAGCAACGAAAATATTAATTTCCACTTTTTGTAATCTACTACGTTGTCTTCTTGCGAGAGGAACATATGAAAAAAAGATAAGTGACCCTAACATTGAACACTAAAGAGTTTCTTTAATCAGAAAATGGAACAGAAACATGATTCAATTTATTTTGGTCAAAAACATGATTCAATTATATTCAATTATTAGACAAGAACCTCATCTTCGTCTTCAAAGCTCAGATTCAAAGTCTGTAACTTAAACCCTGCTCCTTGTATAGTCTCCACCAAGCTTGACGCCACTCCTGTTGCTTGAACCGTTGTTTGCTTTGAAAGCTTCATACACACACAAGAACATAAGTCAGATTTCAATATACTGATCCAAACATCAAACAAACATGGAGATGTTGTTATGCTTATCATCAAGCCATAACACGACTGTTCCTATAAAGGCCTTGACTTTTCAAGGCTCAGGCCCGGTCCACCTTTGTTATGCGGCCATAAAGACTAATCCCGTGGTCCGTTAATATGTAAACAAAATGTGATACTCGAAATTTCTAATCCATACATATTCAAAGTCTTTAGGTAATGTATCAAGAGAATATTGGATGTGAACAAACCTCAACAACCGCAACACCTTCAGAAACTTGAACCTTCAAGTTGGAAACTCCATCTATGTCCTGAAAGAACAAACAAGATTTACTATTGGCTTTAATTCACTGCTGTAGAAAGCTAAACTTCGAGTTAAGGAAGATCTAAAGAGTGTTAAGAGTAAAGTGAACAATAGTGAGTGAATGGAATCTAAACAAGTAACCAAAAGGGGTTTAATATAATCCAAGAAACTTAAGAGAAACAAATACATTCAACAAAGATACACGTTGAGCTCTAAACAGATTTGCAAGTACAAGTAAAGATTATTATCTCAAAGCAAAGTATTACCTGTAAGGCCTTAGTCACATTAGGAATAGCTGCTTCATTCAAAGTTCCATCAGCCTTCAAAATCAAACAAAAAAAAAGCCAACAATGATCAAACTCAATGTGGGAGGCCACCCTTAAAAATACTATTGTGCAATTATAAACCGTTACTAAGCTCTTCTATAACCAAACAACGTTAGAGTTTGCTAATAAATTACAATGTACTACTCATATTACAAAGCATTCCATCTTATCTACTCGCTAACATACACTAAGGATGATAATCAGACAAGGTCACAGGAGTGATTAATCAAAAAAAGAGATGTAAAGTACCTGAAAAAACATGGTGAGCATGTCTGAAGGAGAGACAGGAACAGAGACAGTCTCTTGCTGTTGTTGTTGTTGTTGTTGCTCTTCATCTGCAATTGCAACGCCTTCTTCTCCTCCTCCTGCTCCAAGTGCCAAGACCTTCCTCAACCCGAGGCGACTCTGTTTCGTGAACGCGGAAAAGCTGCAAACTCTGCTGTTTCCGATGGGTCTGGTTCGAAAGGTGAGGTTTTTGGATAGAGGAAGAAGATGGGTCGAAGAAAGGTTAGGGCTTTTGGTTGTTGAGAATGAGTGAAAGGTAGAAGATGCTGTAATCGACGCCATTTTTTTTGCTTCTACTACTCAATCTTTCAGTCGATAAGGTTTACTCTGTTTCTCTCAGTTCTCACATTATCCACCCGCATGTCAAAAGACATAAACACCCTTCTAAGTTCTAAAGCATATTAGTTGGGCTCAAAACGTTACAAAGTTTGCTAAGTAGTTGGGCCATCTGAAGTAAAAGCCCACACATATACCTCAGCTGATTGACATTGAGCACACTACTTTATAGTAGGAGGGCATTAGAGCATTAGAGCAACATTATCGCCTGTCTTTTAGCCCATTTCTTCCTTTTATTGGGTCGAATTTAAATCAAAAAGATTAAGAAACAAAGCAAACGTACCTTAATTAAGGGACAAATGGGCTCGTCTTTAGCCAAAGAAAGAAGCCATGTGTCAGCGTCTGGATAAACCTCAATAATATATGTTTTTCCTTTTTTTTCTTTCTTTTTTCTTCGTCTTTGTTTTTTCCGTCTCGTGTTCTTTCTTCTTCTTCTATCTCTTTTCAATCGGTTCCGTTTTGGATGATCCAAAGCAGAGTTTGTTGAAAACTGAGTGGGTAGAGGAGAGGTTTGGTGTTTCAACCATTTCGGCTTATCTCTCTGTCGATTCCTCTCCAAGCGAAACGGTTCTCTCCCTCTCGGTGGCTCTGCTATCCACCACGACGTCACCCGCGGTGGCTCTGGTCAGCGATTCTTCAGTCATCGATGACCTCTCTCTCGTGCTTTCAGGCATTAGAGCCACAGCAAATCGACCTATAATAATATTAAATTTTTTTGCTAAGAGACACCGTAAAAGTTCCAGCTATAATCTCCATTTCGTATAACGTCTCTTACAGTTGTCTCTTAAGTAACATTAATTAATATAATAAGCTAAGGGACTTAGATTTGTATATAGCAATAATGATGCTCTTAGAGCACGTACATTAGTGAATCTTTTTGGATTCAAGTTTTTAATTTTTCATTAATAAATTTTTTCTTTAAAAAAAAAATAATTGAACGAATCGTGAGTTGCTATGTGTCGTGAAACCCACAAAACAATAATGAACTCACTAGAAAGAAGTTCACCCGAAAGAGCTCACCAAAGATAGGTTCATGTGAATGAAATTATTTTAATATTTATCTTGGGAAACGTGTAAACTCTTCTCTTAGCTCTTAATGTACGTGATCTTAGGATTAGGCGTTTGGCATTGTAGAATAGCTTATCAAAAAGACTTTCTCAATATCTCCTGATAGTTTCTGTGAATCGAAATAAGATGATAACGTTATTACTGTGAACATGTCCCAAACCAAACTAAATAACGTTAAAATGAGCACCATGGTTACAAACAGGTTTGGTTGTCCATTGCTAAATCTCTCAAATAATCGTTTCATGATTTATTAACATCATTTGCCTCTCTACTCTCACATAGCTCTTCAAGAAGTGAATTCAAATTCTTCCAAGACGAACCAGTGCCTTGAGCCAAAGCTTCTTTCGCCATTTCTGCATACTCTTTCACATTCTTCATCGCAGTCTTCCCCATATATCCTTCCATTAACTCCTTAACCTAAATATGTTTGAACAGATTATATTTAGTGCCATAACATAATATCATATTCATTAAAAACATTTTAACTTGTATACCTTTTGACTAAGTTCTTTTCTTGTCACGAATCCTTCCACACTCCCATCTATTGTTTCAATCCTTACACCGATCTTTAGCTCTTCCACTACAAATTTAGCATTTACTGGCTGCTCAGCCATCATTGGCCAAGCCAGCATCGGAACTCCAGTGCAAATACTCTCTTGCGCCGAGTTCCATCCGCAATGACTCAAAAACCCTTTGACACTTTCATGTGACAATATCTCCCATTGGTTCACCCAATCTCTAACAATCATCCCATGATCTCTCACTCTTTTTTCCAACCCTAATTCTCCAGTCAATTCTTCAACGTCCATTCTCGTGACCCACAAGAAGTTAACCTTTGCATTAAATCAGTCAAGGGCCACGTAAATTAATTAGCATAGAAATGTTCTGTCACTCCAGAGTCCCCATATATGCATTAATATATGCATTAATGAATAAATAGGTGAAAATTAATGTCAACTACCAGTATGTTTTTCACATTCAAAAATATTAAATGGTTGATAAATACATTACTAGTAAGAAAAAGAGAGAGGAGACAAATACATTACTAGTAAATACTCTCTCTGTTTCATAAAGAGTGTCACTTTGACATTTTTCACACAGATTAAAAATTTTTTTGGAATGTGTTATATTCTTATTAATTACACAAAATCAACCAATAAAATTTTTTAGAACTAAAATTCTTTATAAAATCAATGCATTTGTAATTAATTTTTACCTCAAAACTGCATTGAAAATCTAAAGTGACACTCTTTTTATAACAAGAGAAATATATTAAAATGACAAAACAGAGAGACTAATTATTAGTAAATGATACTCTCTCCGTTTCTTTTATAAGATGTTTTAGAGGATTTATGTTGTTTCAAAATATAAGATGTTTTGAGATTTTAAGGTAGTTTTTAAGTTTTAAGGTTAACTTTAACTTTATTGAAAACTGTTCAACCAATAAAAATAATCAGTCTTTTTATAATTGGTTAAATGATTTTAAAATTATATCATTAAAAGTATCTTTACAAAAAAAGATTAATATCTTAATCTCCGTGCATTCAACCAAAACATCTTATAAAAAGAAACGGAGGGAGCACTATATACTTAATGTAACCATTACTTATTCATATTTTGGCACGGACGGTTTTACGTACCTTGGAATCTTCTAACCCTAATGCTATTTCCTTGAGCTGCTCTTTTGAAATCTCCGTCTGCGTTCCAAACGCCACATACAAAACCGGACATCTTTCCTCTCCCTTCCGGTCCAACCAATGAATCCAACTCGGTTTATCACTTTCCGGTTTATGAGAATTAACCATGCACAAAGGCCCAACACACCACGGCTTGGGACCATCGTTACCACGGAGCCGGAAGTCAACAAACGTTGACTCTAGCTCGTAAAAACTATTTACTACAACTCCACGGCTTTTCCCCGTGGACACTATTTGATCCATGAACAGCTCGAACTCTGGACCCGATCTATCCGTGTGAGTAAAGATAGGCGAGAACTCGCATTTCTTAACCGAGATCCATGGGAATTCCGGTACAGTAACCGGTTCGGTTTCGGATTTAATAATTTCCGGTTTGGTGAAAAGTTGGTTTACGTAAACGGAGGAGAAGAGAGCTGACGCGTAGTTGTTCATGCCGAAGAACGCGAGGCTCGGGATACTAAACTTGGCGCCGGAGTCCAGTGTCCACCAGAGGAACCCGTCGGCGACGATGAAAGAAACTTGTGGAAGATTCTTGAGTGTTTCTTCGAAGAGAGGCTGGAGAGAGTTTGTTGCGCGCGTGAAGGGCACGTAGAGTGACATGGAAGGGAGCTTGTCGGTGGTCTCGACGCCGGGAGGGATGTCGGAGATGTTTTCCGGGAAAGGGAGGGAGATTATTTTGGTGGATGATGAGACGTCCGAGAGGAAGTTTGAGATGAAGGGGTGGTTTTTTGGGGTGGTGAAGATGGTGATGGAAATGTTTGGTTCTTGGGTTTTGTCGTCGGAGGTGGAGATGACACGGCGGTGACGGAGGAGGAGACGGGCGAATTGGAGGAGAGGGATGGTGTGACCTTTGGACATGTATGGGAAGAGAACCACGTGATGGGGTGGTGATGAAGCTGCCATGGGTTTTTTTTTGTTTTCTCATCGTTGGTTTTCACAAGACTATTTATAAATTGACGTGAGTTTTGTTTAACAGTTTTCAAAAAGAGTTAGTATTGTGTTTTCAAATATAATCTTCGAAACAGCGTCTGAAAGCCTTCATGGAGTTATCACAAATCCAGATAACAACAATATTTTCAGCCATTTATGCCACAATATCAGATTTCTACTCGCACGGATAGATTGTTGGAGTGTAGACCACGTCTGTTCCGTCCGCAATGAGTCAGCAACGTCAATTGCGGTGAGTGTCACTCGTGATTTGCGCCATCAATCTTATATCGCTCAAGGAGGTCCAGTTTGGCTTCATCACCTACTTGCTTTGGAGGCTCAAGTGTAGAAGGCTTTGGTGAGATTTCCCTTTCTTTTCAAATTGGTGTCTATTGACATTTATCTTTTTCATGTTCTTTCTTTGTACGTTATGAAACCATGTTCGGCTCGATTTATTATCAGTGTTATAAAAAAAAAGACTTAATGGTTCAAAAGTAAATATTACTATAGTCGTAGAGAAGGTGTTTTTACTTAAATGTTAGTTTTCATGGTTCCAACATGTAGTTAATAGTTATTGGTTTAGTGACTTGAATATTACTACAAAACAAGTTTTAACTGGAAATTACGAGTAGTAGTCAAATGAAAATGTATTTACAAAATAACCAGAAAAAACTGACTACAATATTCTACACATAAATTACAATCTATTCTAATTAAACACCTCTCGCCTCACACACATACATGTCATACACCATTCTCCTTAATCGCTAATTTTCTTTATTGTTGTCTCTATATATACGAAGTTCAGTTTTGTTGATAAAAAGGTAAAATAATAATAATTACAGTCCCTTGAGAAGACTAGAAAAGGTTAAGAAAGGACAACAAAACGTTTATTCAGTTGAATCAGTGTTAGGGCATCTCCAACCTAACTCCATTTTTTACTTCAAAATGAAGTAAAAGTGATTATAGAGTAAGAAATGCTCCAACCCCACTTCATTTCTTACTCCATAATGAGATGTATTCCATAAATGGAATAATCTATTTTTTGTTTGTTCACTACTCCATTATAGAGTTACAAATAGAGTGGGGTTATAGCATTTTTACTCCATAATCACTTTTATTTCATTTTGGAGGAAAAAATGGAGTTTTACATTGGAGATGCTCTTAGACACTACACAACTAATGATTTACAAAAAAAAACAATAGTACACTAGATTTGAACGCTAAACCTTTTTATAGTAAACACATGAAGTGAGGCAATTAATTCAGAAAACGAACGTAGTATAAAAGTACATGTTTGCCAAAAGAAAATGAAATCTTAAAATTTGGCACCTAGATTGACATATATTTCAATGATATGTGTTAGTATAAGGCATAATTTCTTACTTTGTTAAAGAAAAGGTAGAAAAGGAATATAGAGAGAAAGAGGAACAGAATAGTTATCTGCGAAGAAATTCTAACTAATTATCTAAAACCATTTGGTTCTCTCAACTGGTCCACTTTTGTTTATAGATTAAAAAAT